TCCCCCCTTCCCATAAATAAAAACTATTAATGCCATTTTTACCAAGACCCTGCTTGAACTTGGAATAAAGTAAGGAATTATACTTAGAGGTTTTTTTGTTTTTGTCTTTTTAACATATAGGTACTCTAATAATTTACTAGGCTTGCAAGGCTATAGGTGCTCTTTTACCTGTCTGTGTCTCTAACTTCAGATCCTACTTCTCATTCTTAAAATCACTGGGCTCCACCATAGAGTAGTCTCTCTTTCTTTTGAATATACCTGGCTTATTATTCCTCCTTTGGTCTTCTCATAACTATTTTTGCTGCCCTTCTTCTCCTAAATCTTCAGTAGCTGACTTCCCTTTATTCTTCATGCCAGTAGGATAAGGATCCATTAGGGAAAGAACTTTATATGACTTGTGTCACCATTCTATTCTTAGTACCTAAAATAGTGCCTGGCATTTGTAGCTGCTCAGTAAATGAATTAATAAAAATGAGATTTTTTTTTAAAGTGTACTCTTCTTAAGTTCGTTTGTGTACATGATGGTCACTAAAAGCACAATAGAATAAGTCATACACTTGGGTTCAAATTCTCACACTGTCATGTAGTGCATGTGAATCTCAGGAAAAATTACCTAAGTTCTCTTACCTAATAGTCTTCATTTATAAATGAGTAGCAGTTGTCTTAGAGAGTTAGTGGGAGATTAAATGAGATATTCTTGTGAAGAACAGCACTCTATTAATGTTAATTAATATATTATATACACACACACACACACACACACACACACTGTGATTCTTCCATTCAGCAGATATTTAATGACACTGCTGTGAGCCAGGCACCATTCCAAACATTGTGGATACAGAATGAAACCAAAGCACTTCCTCTTATGGAGCTTTCCTTCTAATGGGGGAAGAAAAATTATAAACGTGACACTTGGTGATAAGTGCTGTGAAGAAAATAAAAATCATACAAGGGACAGAAAGTAACAAGGGTGGGGGGTACTATTTTGATAGGATACTCTTGTAAGCAGTGAACAGAGTGAAGCAAGTCCACCAGCCATATAGATATTGAAGGCAAGAGTTCCAGGCAGAAGATTTGGCACTGCAAAGGTTGGAGGTTGGAGCAAGTCTGTTTATTCCAGTGCACAATAAGTAGCACACTGTGCCTGCTAATGCAGGGGATGGTGGAAAGAGAGGGTGCTGAAGGTTAGGATCTCACAGCACTTTGTCCACCTGCCAGTGACTTTGGATTTTATTCTCACTTTAGTAAGTCTATATTTGGGGGAATAAACCTTCTCCTTTGTGGTAGGGTATTTTTACTCTTGGGGGAGGGACGTGGTTTCTGTCATGTATAATGGAACAGGGAATTGAAGTGAGACTATAGTATATCCCCTCAAAGAACCAAATCTAAAAATCATAGAGTGGTTTAGTAGGATTTGTTGTAGTATGCATTATAGTTTCTGTGGGTCTATTTGGATATCATTAAGGAAAAGCATAATGTTGTTATCCATCCATTTTTAAAAATCAAATGGTTTTGAAAAAAGACTTATTTTTTACCCTCTGAAAAAGCAGTTAACTGTTGGCTTATTTTCTAATGTCACTGTTTCTAGTAGGGACATTATGTTTGGGAAAATTTAGATTTAGGATTGTGATTTAATTGGTGATTTGTAGCAATTACAACTGATTCTTGAGATGGGTAGGATGTGGGTGTCAAGAAATTGGCAGGCAAGAATGAATTTCCTTACCAGATTTGCTGCTTGTGGACTGTGCAGAGGCTATAAAAAGACTTGGTGGGGATAGTAAATAGAAGATTCCGTGTTGGGGATGGGAGAGTAAGGATCATCTGCATCAGCTTCTGGAGAGTGTTTTACAAGGCAAATTCTTTAAGAAATGTTGTAGGATCAAAATGTTTCCTAGCCCACCTTTCCTTTCCTTTTCCCATAGTGCTGGGGATCAAACACAGTGCCTTGTGTGTGGCAGGCAAACACTATTAGGACCTAACTTTTTCATAACAAAGTCTCTGAATAAGTTCCTTAAGTTATTTTTTGTAAAATAATTCATGTGTTGACAAAATTCAAAAAGGAACAGAACTAGGAGAAATAACTATATGGTGACTGCAGTTACGTCAAAATTTCCATTTATTCTATGGCTCATTGTCGTTGTTCACTAGATATATTTTCTTCTACTTGACTATGTAGTAATCTAGATTTTTTTAAAAAAACTATAAGTGAATATATTTAAAGGGGTTTTGAAACTCCAACATTAGACTTGCATGTGTAGCCTGTAGTTCTGTTGGCTCCATAATAATCTAAACCATTGACATTCATTTTTAATTACTTTATATTTGCTTTATAAAATTGTTTTCCTATTGTTTTATTTTTCCCAGAATAGCCTTTTCCTTATCAGTAATTATAGTGTGTGGTCGTAAAAGTTTGAAGTATAGGCTTTAAACCTTTTTATATTAAAAACAGGAACTCTCTGGTTAAATGAAATCTTGTGGGAACCCCATTTGTAAAGTGACTGAGATTGTAGGTGTTGTTACAACACAGGACCTGTGGTGCCATCCTGAGTTCTTCTCCAAGAACACCTAGAGCTCATTACCCTCTCTGATCTGCTTTCCACATTTGCAAAATAGGAATGATGGTACCTGTCATAATGTCTGATTCATGGAGGTCTATGACTAATGTTCTTTCCCTTCCTCCTTTTACTGTAATTTCCTCATGCTGTTAGTATGTTCATACACCACTTATTTTTTCTGATTAAGGTCACCTGGATGGATATTCTGTTGTGCGACCAGATTTTTTACAGTGGAGATATTGTCTCCAAAAATATTGTGCTTTATGTATTGTTGCCTAAAATATTCATTAAAGATTCTGAAGCTGCTGTCTCTGCCCTGAGTGACAGCATCATCTGTTTGGTGGCAGTAGTGCAGACCCAGTTATTTTATTTTGTTTTTTTGTTTTGTTTTATGTGGTGCTGAGGATCGAACCCAGTGCCTCATGCATGCTAGGCAAATGCTCTACTACTGAGCTATAACCCCAGCCCCTCAGCCAGTTATTTTAAATGTACTTAGAAATATAAAATGTAATTAAGTACATAAATGCTATTATTTTCAAGCAGAATTCTTCCTAGAACGTTTTAGCTTCTGGGTTATTTCAGTGTGTTTAGTGTTTGTTTGTTTTTGTTTTTGTTTTAGCTGTAGATGGACACAATATCTTTATTTTATTTATTTATTTTAATGTGGTAAGTGGGCTTAGAACTCAGTACCTCACACATGTTAGGCAAGTGGTCTACCACTAAGCTATAACTCAGCCCCAGTGTTTAGTTTTGAAGATTTTCCTAGGGAAAAAGAGGAAGTTAACTATTATTCCGTTGCTTGTTGACCCTCATTATGAAGACTGGTATTTCTGTAGCTCTAACTGTTCTCAAACTAGCAAATATTATTTGAGTAATTAAGTCATCTGGTTAGATTTTCTTTTCATTAACATTTTGTGTTTTTTATAGGTAGACCACTTAATGAGCTTTGATCTCAGGTTTCTATTGAGATTGGTTTTTAAATTATTCTCTAAGAAATAAAAATCTTAGAAATAATATTGTCACAAATGAATTATGAAAACTGAAATCTCCTTAAGAGCCAAATTTATGAATTAAAGAATTGGTAGATCTGGGCCTTAGGCTTTAGCTCAGTGGTAGAGCAGTTTGTCTCACACATGTGAGGTACTGGGTTCGATCCTCAGCACCAGATAAAAAGAAATAAAGATACTGTGTTCATCTACAACTAAAAAATAATTTAAAGAATATGTTGAAAAAAAGAATTGGTAGATTCATCTTCCATTTTCCAGAGTGGAATGCCCTAATTTATATATAATTAGGGTGAAAGATTAAGAAGTAGGAATTATTAGTTTCTAATAGGGATGTTAAGGAGCTGTGGCCCTTTCCAATCTTAGGCCTAAGGAATTTATTTGATCTGATTTTCAACATCTTTAGAACTACATCAATTTGTCTTAATTTTAAACATTTAATTTTTTCTGCAAATTTTATATAGTGAAATAAATTAAATATTCAATTTCATAAAACCTCATCAGATAATTTTCATAAGGATCACAGAGGTATTTTTTTTTTTGTTTCTACTTTGGCAATGGAAGATACTCTCTTTCTTAAACTATGTCCTAAAAATTTCATTGTGTATATATACCACATTTTCTTTTTCCATTCATTTGTTGAAGGGTTTCTAGGTTGGTTCCATAGTTTGGCTATTGTGAATTGAGTGCTTTGATCATTGATGTGGCTGTGTCACTGTATTATGCTGATTTTAAGTCCTTTGAATATAAACTGAGGAGTTGGATAGTTGGATAGCTGGGTCAAATGGTGGTTCTAGTCCAAGTTTTCTGAGTAATTGCCATATTGCTCTCCATAATGAGTTATTTTTCATTCATCCTTACCAACATTTATTGTTGCTTGTATTCTTGATAATTGCCATTCTGACTGGGTGGAGCTGGAGAATATCTTGCTAAGTGAAATAAGCCAATCCCCCAAAACAAAGGCTGAGTATTTTCTCTGATATGCAGATGATAATTCATAATAAGGGGGTGGCTAGGGAAAAATATAGGTACTTTGAATTAGGCAGAGGGGAGTGGAGGGAGAGGAGGGGATATGGCAGAGGGAAGGATAGTCGAATGAATCAGACATTATTACCCTATGTACCTATATGATTCCACAACTGCTGTGATTCTACATCATGAACAACCAGAAGAATGAAAAGTTATACTCCATTTACGTATGATCTGTTGGAGTGCATTCTGCTGTCATGTATAACTAATTAGAACAAATAAACAAATTCAAAAAAACATTAAAAATCTTAAAAATTTCAACACTGTCTCCATTAATGACTTCTAGTTTTTAACAATAGTATAATTTCTGGTTTTGAAGATTGATACCAGAGGGTTGTACTATATATCAGAGCACATACCACAAGTTACAATTGTAACTTTTCATTCAACACAAATGTCTGTATTTCAGATGGAGCAGCTTTCAGATGAAGAAATTGACCATGGTGCTGAAGAAGACAGTGACAAGGAAGACCAGGACCTGGACAAAATGTTTGGAGCCTGGCTTGGGGAACTGGACAAACTCACTCAGGTTAGAAGTAGTACTTGAAAAACTGGTTGAGGATTTGAAGTTATCACTGCATGGTAAAAGTTTAATGTGTAGACATAAGGATATGAGTACAGGTTAAACTTTCTAAACTAGAAAGGAAAAATGCCCAACACATTAACAAATGAATAAATAATAACTCCATAACACAAGGTAGTATCTCCTATGATTACTCTAAAGATTTTTAAAAAATTATGACAGCATCTATTTAACTAGAGGAATTATCTAATACATTTTCATATGTTTTAAGGTTGCTAATTTAAAATAAAAAGTTTCAAAGCCTAAAATTTAAAAAAGTTCAAATTTTAGCAAAATCCTATTTAATAAAATAGTAAATTTAAGTACATTTTACAGCATAATATCCTTACATGTCAGTATTTTCTTTTACTTGTTTCTAGAATACTAACAAAATTCCATTCCATGGTGCATTTTAAAGAGTGGTTACCTTTTGTTTTATGGGATCATGGGTTTAAAAGTAATAGTAACCTTATTCTCTAACACAGGACACTTAAAAACAAAATGTTACAGTTTTTACTGCCTATGTAATACATTGTATTCAATATATGATGATGGTTTATTAAAATAAATTTAATTTTGTGGCAGTGATAAAATTAGAATAACATTTATCCTTTAATGATATCTTTGGGAATGCATAAGTATGAGGTTCTTTAGCTAATGGTACAGTACTCATTGGTACAATAGAAACATAAAATATTAACTTATTTCTGTACTGTAGATCATTTTGAAAATCAGATGTCTGTGACCATGATTTGTTAATAATTGAAATTTTGGGAGACTGTTGATTTCTACTAATGATTTTCTTGGGACATTGGCTTATCTTTTGATCAGAAGTAAGCCCCACCCACACTGCCTGGAATGTCGTCTTTTTTTCTCTCTCTCTCTCTTTTTCTTTTAATCCCTATGCAGTTCATAGTTTATTGACCCTGGGATGTCTTTTATGTCTGTATTGTCAACCATTTCTATTTAATCCTTAATTTTTTTTAAGATGGTAATTTTGGCATAGAGATGATGGCTAAGTTAAGTAGTTTTTGCTGGGGAGAAAAAAAGCAAAGGAGAGAAAACAAAAATGAGCATGCATGAATAAAATTATGCAAGGGCCAGCTGACTTGTGTCTTGTCCCTGATCAGGTGGGTTTTTTCCTTGCTTGAGAGGGGAGCCAAAAAGAGAAAGACATTTAGGTATCTGTAGAGCTAATAAAGGTGGAGTGGGAACTCCATGCTGATCCACTGTAAACTAAATTTCTACTGGTTTGTTCTCATGTATTCTCCCCTATATTTTAAATTGCCTAACGTAAATGGAAAGAGCCACTCACCAAAAAAGGAATGGCTCCTAAACATGCTATGGTTGTTCTTTTCATCATACAAATCGGTCTTTAGAAAATAGATTAAAACTTTTGCATAATGTGACTCAACTGCTAACATTGCTTTTTAATGGAAATTTTCAGGAAATAATTGACTTAGTGGCTAAAACTTTAAATTTCTTACTGAAATTTAAAAATTCTCACTATAAAGTGTCACCTGTGTCCATAATCAACTGTATTTTTAGCATTGTATTAAATGAAGTTTAAATTTTAAGTAGTAGGTAATTCTTAAAATAGTTTGTAAAATTTTGTGTATGTGCGTTTTTCTAAAAGAAGGTTCACAGCTTTACTTAAGTTCTCAGTGACTGCCCCCAAAAGATTGACAGTCCTCCTACTAAATTACCAATTTCTTGGACTGAGGAGTATTTCTTATTATTTCCTTTGTTGCCCTAGCACCATGGACATAGCAGATAGTTATAATACATGACCATTCATTTAAACTTGTAAATAGACTGACTTTTAGTAAATCTTTATACTCCAGGTATCTTACAAAAAATGTTAGCAACTTTTTATTCTCCAGTTCCACCAAGAGGAGGGGGATTAGGGCTTAAATTGCTGCAGTAGAATTAAGTTTGAGATTAAAGGAGAATTTTCTGGCTATTTTGTGAAACTGTGAAATAAGGCACTGAAGAGATTTTGGATCTCCTTTATTTAATAGCTTTAATAATAAGAATAAATAAAACATACAAAGGAGTAGGTATATGGCTCTTTGGCAAAGCACCTCTGGTACCCAGTACCAAATAAACAAATTTGAATACTCTCTGTTACCTTTCCTGTTCCCATTCCTTCTCCCTTCCTTTCATCACCCTTTATCTAATCCAAAGTACTTCTGTTCTTCCCTGCCAACCCCCCCCCTGCAACTCTTGAGTTAGTATTCACATATCAGAGGGAACATTCGATTGGTTTATTTCACTTAGCATGATAGTTTCCAGTTCCATCCATTTACCAGCAAATGCCATAATTTCATTTCTCTTTATGGCTAAATAGTTATTCCACTGTATGTATACCACATTTTCTTTATTCATTCATCTGTTGAAGGGCACCTAGGCTGGTTCCATAGTTTACCTATTGTAAATTGAACTGTTATAAACATTGATGTGGTTGGAGTCACAAGCCAGAAAGGTCCCTCCACGAATTCTAATTTAAATCCATGATTGGGCTGGGGTTGTGGCTCCACCGTAGCATGCTTGCCTAACACATGCAAGGCCCTGGGCTCGATTCTCAGCACCACATAAAAATAAATAAACAAAATAAAGGTATTGTGTCCAACTACAACTAAAAAATAAATATTTTTTTAAAAAAGAATATCCATGCTTTTTAAAAAATTTGAATATCTTATATCTAATTTGCATAGTGACTAAAAATTTAAAAACTGATTCTAATATATGCAAATGATTTAAATATCACTAAGCCTAATTTCTTTCCCCTTTTTTCTGAAGTTTCCTATTGTAAGTATCCTTATTGTTGAAATAAGGAAAAAGGGAAATAAAATGTCCTTTAAAAAGGTGTTGAGGGGCTGGGGTGTAGCTCAGTGGTAGAGTGCTTGCCTATCATGTGTGAGGCACTGGGTTCGATTCTCAGCATCACATACAAATAAGTAAATAAAATAAGAAATTTCATCAACAACTAATAAAAATATTTAAACAAAAAAAGATGATGAGGACTGGGGGCTCAGTGGTGGAGCATGTGCTTAGTATGGAGAAGATCTAGGCCTGGGTTCAATCTCTAGCACCAAAAGTAAATTAATTAATCAGATTTAATTAAATAAAATAGTGGTGAGATAACTTTTAAGTTACCCTTATACCCTTGATTGTAGTTTGCCCTCATTTTGAAGTTGTAATTACTTTCTGTTAAAAGTCTTAGGTTTTACCAATTTTGAGTCCAGAACTGACCTTTATCTTTAGGGTGATTCATGGCCAAAGAATGAAGCTATCCTGAGTGAAAAAAACACATATATCCCTCTAGGGAAAGAGATGACAGAATTCTCTGCATGAGTCCTTTCCATTTCTGTTCTTACCGTGTCCGTATTCACATATCAAACTTACTTTATAGTGAATTTATGTAAAATTAGGTCAGTCACAACTTGATATATTTGAAAAAATACTTTGAACTATGATAGTCTCAATTTTCAGGTGCCCTCAAAGTAAGCATATATCTAAAATTGAAATAACTAATGAAAATACTGTGAAAACCAATTATACTTTTTCTTAAGGCTATACTTACGAAAACTTTGGTTTAGTTAATTATTATATGGTAATTTACTTAATCATAAAAAATTTTCATCTTTTTATGTAATTGAAACCTGAATTTAATATGACTTATTAAACTTTATTTTTAAAGACTTTGGATTCTGACAAACCCATAGAACCAGTGAAAAGATCTCCTCTTCGCCAGGAAACAAACATGGCCAATTTTTCTTATCGTTTCTCCATATACAACTTGAATGGTAAGATGTAACTAAGTGTAAAATAGTATATTAACCTGTATAATGTGGGAATAATACAGCGACAGTTCCAAATATAAAAACTATGTGTAACCTTACTAAGTTCTATGTTTCTTGATTTGTGTGTATTACTAATTGAGATTATCACAGAAAAAAGACTGACTGGAACATAACTAAAATAGTATTCCAGTTGATTTATTAGTACTTGGCAAAATACATACTTAGATGGACCCCCCCCCAGCATATTTAATTCCATTGTTGTTTTCTCACTTGATTAAAATCCAATGAAACTATTTATTAATAATTTTAAAATCAGCCCCTGTGGCTTTTATTTGATATATTCTACCTAGTCAAGTTTATTGACATTCCAATCTGTAATTATTTTTTAGACTTTTAAAACTTCCCTTTTTACGCCCCTAGTTCTTTTGGTATTAACATCTTTACCTGGGCATTAATCATATTAATAGCCTATTAAAACCTGTGGTGAAAAGTTATTATGGATGATGTGGGTAAAACCATGGAACAATGTTAAGATTTTTGCCTTTGAACTTTAACTTTATTCCCCTCGATTACTAGAGATCTTAAAATGTGGACTAGTTTCTTCTAAAGATTTCTTTTGGAATTTAAAACAAGCAGACTATTGGCAATACTTTGTTTAGCTTAAGACCCAATGGGATGAATTCTTTTGCTTCTTCCCCCATATTTAACTGATTTATAATGGAATGTATAAATCCTGATTAAGCGTGTTCTGGAAATGTGTGTTCTTTGCAGAAGCTCTGAATCAGGGAGAGACTGTTGATCTGGATGCCCTGATGGCCGATCTTTGCTCTATAGAACAGGAGCTCAACAGTATTGGTTCAGGAAATAGTAAGCGTCAAGTCACAGAAACAAAAACTACTCAGAAATTACCTGCTAACCGACATACATCAAAACATGGCACCTTGAAAGGATTATCTTCTTCATCTAATAGGATAACTAAACCTTCTCATGCTAACTACTCTCTAGATGACATCACTGCACAATTAGAACAGGCCTCCTTGAGCATGGACGAGGCTGCTCAGCAATCTCTACTAGAAGATACTAAGCCCTTAGTAACTAATCAGCACAGAAGAACCGCATCAGCAGGCACAGTGAGTGATGCTGAAGTTCGCTCTATTAGTAACTCCTCCCGTTCTAGCATCACGTCTGCAGCCTCTAGCATGGATTCTTTGGATATTGATAAAGTGACACGCCCTCAAGAACTGGATTTGACATCTCAGGGGCAGCCAATTACTGAGGTAAATGGATGGAATTTTTTTCTTCCTGGAATTTTAGAGTTAAATAAGGGGGAAATTATTTTTTAAAAAATTAAGTTTAAACTTTTCTAATGCTTCTACATTTAAAACTTGTCAGTGATGGCTGTGTCACAAAGATGACTTTGAAAACATTTAATTTCTTTTTTTTTCATTCTTTGACTTTTTGAAGTCCTTGAATTTATATCAGTTATTTTCATGTAATTAAAAAATATTGAAATGTGATTTCCAAAGCCACTAATATTTACTAAGTTGATAATTGCTTTTCAACATATGTATTTAAATGAGAACATAAGAAAAACATTCATCCCCATTGTAGTTCTCTAAGATTTTAGTTTTCATGGTTTACCCCATTTTATTATCAAAGAGTCAGTGTGATGTAGTGGATTTGCAATAAGTTTAACAAAAGCCGAGTTTGGTGAAGGAGAATTCATTCATTTTTATCAAGAAGATCACAATTCTGTTACAGAGTAACAAAAAGCAAGAAGGAAATCAACAGGTTAAATCTTATAAAATATTGTTTAAGGAATTATAGAAAAATTTAAAATTTATGCTTATTATGTGACATTATTGATTTTTTTTCTCCCTAGCTGATTTTATTATTTAGATTAATTTACATAAGTGAGTAACTCCTAGTATATTTGTTCATGGGCCTAGCTTTGTTCTAGTACTGTAGAGCTCAAAAACATGAATCATGGCAGTTTAGAGGTAAATTTGAGTTTTCTTGCTGAGAAAGTTAGCAAATCATATCGATCTAAAGAATATGCTTTCATTTATTTAAACTAAAACTTTACATGGTATATTAATTACCTATAGAGAACTTGAAAACTGGTTTGTGCTTTATAATAGTCAAAAAATATAATTAGCACCAGTTACTTGTCATTTTCTTGTCTTTTAGATACATCTATTTAGATTTAAGCAATATTTTATTGCAGATACGTTTTCTTTATTACTCTTTATCCTGTATGTTGAATTGAGTCAAGATGCATGAGGACAGATTATAAACTAATTATTAAGGATATTCTAACGTGTGTTTATCTTTCTGTCTGTAAAATACACTCAAAAAAGTTCAAACTATGTAAGGACAAAAGAAGTAAAAAGTGAAAAATCCCTTTCTCCCAGCAAACATATTTCAAATGGTATCTAGTGATATCCATGGGCAAGGACACTAGCATTCAATGTTGTTATGTTTAATATAATACTTTTAATAAGGTTTGGTGAATAAGCAGGCAAAGGACTTAAAAGTCTCATCTGGCCTGTTCTTTTGCCTCACCCAGAGGGGATAGAAAAGTGATTTAACAAGCCTGGAACTTGATTTAATGTGTTTTTTTTGGGGGGAGGTCTGCTCTGTTCTGATTCAAATCAAGTAAATTGGGACAGCTCTATAGATCCCAAACCCATATATCCAGTTATCCTCAAATGCAAATACTATTTTTATTTTTTGCAAGTACAGTTTAAAAAAAAGTAATTGGTTTTCCATGCATAGAGTTAAATAGTTCTATAAGAGCATTTTAAAATCAAATAGCTCTTTGAGATTTGTTACAAAAAACTTGTTATACTAACACATCATATTCTATTCCCAGAGATAAGCGCTTTCCTACTATTTTAACTAGTTCTTACAGTATTTAACTTCTTACCATTAAATCCACACTTACGTCACTATTTCCTGACTTTTCCCATTATGTGTATTGTCTGCTGACTTCTTGCTCTGGAAAATGAGAATATAGTTGTCTTTAGACAACTCCTTGTACTTCTGTTCCTCCATTCTCACAGTGTATTTTGATAGGGTCACTATTCATTGTTTTTGTTATGATTATGTATTTGTAATTTGCTTTTAAACTGTAATCTCTTACATCTCCTTTTTGAAACCTCATTTTGCTTTCCCTAAAATTCATAATTATCTTTAGATTTATAAAATAATTAAATTTTTGTGTGTTTATCACTGTTGTAATTCTAAATTTTATCCCTGTTGATTAAATCTCTCACTTGCATCAAACAAGTTTAGTGTTCTGTTAATTTCATCTTTAGTTTCTGGTTTGTTCTTTTTGTGTTTTTTTTTTTTTTATTTGTTTATTTGGAGTGGGGTGTTTGTTTTGTTTTTGTAGTCTGTAGGATTATTTAGTTGTTTTTTTTCCAGAGTGGCAACCTTCTGCAGAGAAGATTCTTCAGTCTCCTGCACAGAGGACATATGCCTCACTGCTAGTGTTTAGAGAAAAAAGGGTTTAGACATGAGGTGATCCTCAGTGTTCAGTATATGAACTTCATCTGATCTTTCTAGATCAGGGTTTCTCAACCATTAGCACTATTGGCATTTTCTCTTGTGAGGGTCTGCCTGGTCTTGGTAGGACGTTTAGCTGCATCCTTGTCCTCTACTATCTAGGTGCCAGTAGTACATACTCCCCTCTAGTTGTAACAACTAAAAATGTTCCCTGAAGGACAAAATCATTTAAGAATCATTGCTCGAGGTAAAAAGTTAACAGTAGATCTGAGCCCTAATTTTTCATGAAAATTTTTTGGGGTTTTTCCTTTTCTTGGTGTTCTCTCCTGGAAACATACTGGATTGGAATTAAGTATAGAATGTCTCCAGATAATAGTGTTTATTACAAAATGGACCCCTGATTACTAAGTTTAGGTAGACCAGGAAGACTGTTCGTGAAGAACCATATAAGCCTATGAGAAGATGCAGAACTTGACTTCCTGGTGTACAGTGTAATGCTTGTCGATGAGCATGAACATGTCCCTTAGGAGCCCTGGAACTTGTCCTCATTGGCTGTTAAAAGATTCTACTGGTTCCCATGGAGCATGAAGTTTCTCCGGGCAGTGTGATTTTTGCATTTGCCCATATAGTCTCTTGTCCTTTATGAGGAGCTGTCACTTGTGGACTCAAAAAAGGCCCCTGCTGGGTAGTGTGAACTCCCTCTGAAGATGGTGTATTTAATGCTAGCATGCCAGCATTCTCTTTTTCTTTCTGCAGAACTGAGTGAACCCCATACTAAGCAGAGGTCTGTTGGATTTCTGTGAGTGATTATCAGCCAACTGAGACCACTGCCAATGGGCAAGTAAAGGGTCTTCCTGCTTTAGTCCCACTGTCACTTCTGCTGACACTTTGGGGGATTTTTGAGGTTACATGATATACATTGAGGTGATACTTTACTTTTCTTCAGTGCTGGCTCAGCATTCATATTTCTTGGGTCTGCTAAGTTAGTTACCTCTCAGGTAAATGCTTTCTAGCTTCCAAAAATCGCCATTGTTATTCACCTCTTCATATCTATAAACTCTTGACTATGGAGTACCCCAAGGCACAGTTCTTAGGCTACTTTTCTATCTATATGTACTCCTCCTGATCTCATCCATGTGTACTGACAACTCCAAATTTTAATTTTAAATTTCTTTTAAGACACTTCTTGTGCCTTCCTTTACTTTATTTGAACCCATTAAAGCAGTGGTTCCCAACTAGAGGCTCTTTGTCCCTCAAAAGACATTCAATATTTTTGGTTGCCCATGATAGGAGAGTACTACTGACATCTGATGGGTAGAGGCCAGAGATTCTGTTGACATCCTACAGTACATAGGACAGCCCATACATAAAAGAATTATCTGAGGCTGGGGTTGTGGCTCAGTGGTAGAGCACTCGCCTAGCACATGCGAGGCCCTGGGTTTGATCTTCAGCACCATATAAAAATAAATAAATAAAAACAAAGGTAAAAAAAAAGATATTATGTTTTCATCTATAACTGGAAAAAAAAAATCTGGCCTAACACAGTGCCGTGGTTAAGCAATCACATCCTGAAATCAGAATGCATCTATCAGACCTGTTAGCAATGCCCCAAATAAGAGTGTATTGTGTGAAGTGTATTGTGTTAACACTTTTAAGTTATTCATCAAGTTATCTTAGATTCAAGAAAATACAGGTATCTTTAGCCCGCATCTTTCCCCTGAACTCCAGGTGTATTCATTCCACTTCTAATCAGTGTCTCTGTTTGGATGTCCTGATCTAAACCTGAAACCCTGATCTTTTTCTCCATACTTGCTTCTCCCACATGTCAGTTAATGACTGTTTCATCTTTTAATTTCATCAGATACTTGCCATGTCTTTTATCTGCTTATATTTTTCTTTCACCTCCTTTCTGATCCAGCAGCAAATACTACTGGCTTTACTCAGAATATATCCTGTCTGACCACTGCTTACCACCTTCACTTCCACCAGGCAAATACCATCTCTATCTAGATATGCAATTATCACTTAAATTATCAAACAGCTTGTGCTGTTGTCTCATTGAAAAGTATGAATGCATTCTAATGTCACATACATTATTCCATTCAAGCTAAGACTGAAAAGATAAAGTAGATCAAGTAACTGAGAAGTCTATATTTGAATTTCATAGCCACAACATTCTGTTTATTGGTTTTTAATAAAAATTTTAATATTAGTTGATTGTTAAAAATGATTATTTTCTAAATATTAGGAGTTATTTTAGTATAAAATTACTCTCCACAGATACACTTAAAAGTGAAATACAGGATAATTTCAGTCAATATTCTTTTGAAGTCCACCAGCAATAATGATAATTTGTTAGGTCTTTTAAAATTAGAATTCATTGTACGATTCATTGTACTTGAAATAAATTCTAATAAAGGCACTTTATTTTTCAGCCAATGTGAAATATAGATTGCAGTTAATCTACTCATTTTGGCACTTTTATTCATGTTAATAAAACATACTTTTCAATGAGACAACAGCACAAGCTGTTTGATAATTTAAGTGATAATTGCATATTATAAATTCCCTATAAAATAATATTTATAGATTGAAAGTTAATACTGGAATATATCTTTATATTTGTTTACCCCTTAATGATTCCCTAGAATTCGGAATTTTATATATGAAAATGTATTTTTTAAATGAAAAGACTTTTTAAAGCTATTAAAATTTTTATAATAGATTCAAAAGGTTTTGCTGTATCTTAAAAAATAACTTGGTGATTTGTTATATTATAATGGGAAAAAATTGCCTAGTGCCTGAGCTATTAAAAATTTTGAAATTATAACTTTTTTCCGTATATGTAGAGGGGTTTTAAATATGAAAAAGTAGTCAGTATTAAAGTTTATGATGTGATACAACAGTGTATATCATAGCTTCAGTGCAACTGCTCCACTTCACCTTGTATTTCAACAGAAAATTTGTGTAGAAATTTTGAGGTATTAAGAGAAAAACAGCAGTTGTGTTTCATAGCACATGGGGTGTGAGCCCACTAGCTTCAAAGCCCCAAATTATTCTTAGCAAGCATAATCTTAATGCTCTGAAGTAGTAACTGGATAGGAAGGAGCACAGGACTTTCTGAAAGCTTCAGAAGTCCTACACATCTGAATGATTGGAGTTACACATTGATTTTTTTTTTTTTCTTGTAGCAACCTTTCTCATGGCTTCACTGAAATTTTTTCATGTGTACCAACTTGGTGTTAAATTCCAATTTGACTGGCCTAGTGAATTTAACAGCAGAAGAAATAGCTATCAGATGAAAGAAGAGACTGAAGATTTGGTTAATCTGGGGGAAAATCTAGTTCACAAGAGCATTTTTCATATATACTTTCTGTCAGCACTGGCATATATGCTCTAACTCACATTATGTGTATTTCTTGGGAATCTACATTTTTCGCTTCTCTGCAGAAATAAAATGACTTTATTTGATTTTAGGTCTGTTTTGTTTGGGGTTTGTGGAAAACTGGTAAAGAACCTTTTTTGTTTGTTTTGAACAAGAATAGAAATATATTCATGGGTTTTTAAAGTTGATCGGGTCTCTAAAATATAAAATTATTTTAAAAACATTCAAACATTAAAAAGAGAAAAGAGGGGGAAATACAAAACAATAGAAGCAGCTTTACTGAGTGCTTATTCTGTGCCAAGCATTGGGTTTTGCATGTCTTACCACACTAATTTTGCCAAACACAGTGTATGGAAATGAGGCAGAGAGTGACTACATAATCTGCCCTAGGATTTGAACATAGCAACCTTTGATTGTAGACCTCATGCCACCATATCATGCTGCTTCATCAGAGAATTGAAGGGGAATCCAGATGAGAATACTGGCCAGCGTTCTCAGTGGGAGATCTAAAGACAGAACTTCATGGACAGGAGAAAAAAAGGGAAAGAGATCTATGCAGCAACACCCCCATCTTGTGGTGTTTTGGTATATTTTTTAATGTTTTGGGTTAAAATTTAAGAATGGAATAAATTAAGTCTTAAATAAAATTTAAATGAGGGGTGACAGTTTCCTGTTTTTAGAGTTATCATTTAACGCTTATATGATATATAAATGCTATTTTTACCTTTATTTGACACATGAATAAACAGGTTAAACAGTTAACTCCAAAATCACATTGTCAGTAAATGTCAGTAAATGGCCATGCTGGGGCTTGAACCCAGGCACTCCATTTCCAGGATCTGCATTTTTTGTCATGCTATGCTTATTGTCAACAGAACACTTGTTTAAAATACATATGTGTCAGTAACAGATGAATGTACATCTCTTTTACTGAAACAGTGGGTACACAAACCTCCACTTCTTTTCTCTGATTGTAATTCACTCTCATGAGGAAGTATTTTATTTGTAGCCACTCCTTTTGTACAAAGCATTTCTTGATAATGGTTTGGCTCTTGTGTTTCAATCAATGCTTTTCAATATGTACCCTCCCATTCCTACCCCAAGGATTCTGGCTGGCAAATGATACTTCATCTTAAGTTAGCATTTGGTTGTAGAAAGAGGTTATCCATAACTTATTTTACCAAGATTTGTGGGAAAATTTTGAAAGATTGATACAGAATCTGATAACTTTATAGCACAAATGAAAGTTGTTGGAACTGAGAAAGTTAAGAGCAAAATTTATGTGGAGAATTGATCCTTGAATTCATTTTTCCTACATGTTTTAGACTAGGATATGATAAAGAGTAGGTAAAGATTAGGTTTGGGATAGATCGTTTATTTAAGTATTAGGTACCTTGTAGAAAAGGAACCTAATTAACATGAAATAAACCAGTCTGTTTTTTTTTCATTTTCATCTCTTTAATGTAATAGCAGAAATTAATTTCTACTCTTTGTGTGTTTTATTTTGTATTTTTGTCCCTTTACAACATAGTTTTTATAATAATATATTGAATTTTAGTAACTATATAATGTTCCATTATACTGTTCAAAATGGTAGTCAGTCATCTCTTTTAGAATACTTTAGATTTAACTGTGAAGCTTACAAAAACTTGAAAGAATAATAGAAAGAACTCATGAAATTTATTAACCAGCTCCACCAATTTTAACATTTTGCCACATTTACTCATTCCTTGTATGTATACATTTTTTCCTGAACCATTTGAGAATTGGTTGCATTTGTTGTGACCTTTTAGCCCTTAAACTTCAGTTTCTTTGTCCTAAGGATAAGGATATTGGCAATATAGGTTTGATAGGTCTCCTCTTGATCTAGCAGTTGAAACATGCTGTAGAACATGTGTAATGAGAACATTTAGAGATGGAAAAGCAAAAACTGTTTTGATCTGACCAAGCATGTTGCAGGAAAGCCTAGCAGGAATAGTTATCCATACATTCCATAAATATTTGAGAGCCTAGGCAAGGCCCTGGACTGTAAGAGATCATAATTTACAGTGTCCTTAGGATGATCTAGCATGTGAGAAAGAAGGGTATAGAATTGAAACCAAACAAGGGATTTCTATAGAGTGTGGCAAGTACTATGATAGGAAAGACAAACCTTTTTTGGTTGAAAGATCATTAAAGACTTTGACAATGAATTATAGAATGCATTACAATTCAAAGGATAAAGGCTTCAGAAAAAAAATTATTTCAGGAAATTATGAGATAAGTGAGTAGCTAAAAGGTGGAGGAGCTTTAGACCATGAATTCAGGAAAATTGGTAGTACAGAGGAGAAAATACTAGTTTAACCAGGAAACTTTTTTTTTCCCCCCTGTGCCCTCACCCTTAATGGGCTGGCCTCATTGAGTATCAGAGACTCATGTTGGAGGAAGAATGAGTAAAATCTGGGATATGCTTGGTTTTGTTATTGTTAGATATTGGTGGGTGGGGAGGCTATTTATATAGAACTGGGGGAAGATATGAGAAAGAATATGGATTTAGTTCCAGAGTTTACTTTAGTGATAAGATCCTCATGATGGATGTGATTTCCTTAGTAATGGGGGGAAGTGAGCTCATGTGACAAGGGGGAAGGGAGAAGCTACAAGCTTGAAGAACTCAGAACAGGGTATGAAAGGATGATTTGGCAGAGTGAGGAGTAGAGGTGAAGAGTGCTGCCAAACCGTGGTCAAAGCCAAATTAAAGTTTGTCAGCCTGAATTGGTATTGGACACGATGTTTGTGCACAATTCTCCCATAAGTTGTACTGTCCAGGGGTAGAGGGAGATGATTCATAAATTATTAAGGCTTAGGATCATTTGGTCCCAATCTCTAATTTTTGCATAAAAGAATCTAAGGTAATTGCATGTAACTTTTCATTACTCTTTTGTTTCATTACTCTTTTGTTTCATTTCAGTGATCCTTTTTTCTTTCTGCATGACAAGGAGAGCTGCCCTTTTCACCTCCTTTACCTATCATTTTCTTCCTTCCTCCATTTTCACAGCATGCTATTTCTCTGAGATGTCCCCGCAAGCAGGCCAAGCGTCATATTGACTTCACAGAAGAACAGGCTGAGCTGACACCTGTAAGTTCTGTAAACATGTCATGGGACTGTTTAAATATCAGTAGAGAGGAATGAATGCATTCATAAGAACTCCAAATGATGAAACCTGTCATATAACACCAATTTTTTCAAGTAAAAAAATCATATGAGCAATACCAAATAAGCACCTTTATGATAGGGTATCAGTGAATATTGATACTGAGGGTAAATTAGGTAGGTAGCATATCTGACATACAGAATTTTTGCATTGGAACCAGAAACCACATTTTCTCTTTTCTTCTGAAGTTAGGGCTTTTGTCAATTTCTTAAGATATTAATAAATTTAGCCATTCTTCAGGATGGGAGTTATCAAATAGAATGACTTCTGCACTAATTCTTAACAGAAAACCTAGTTTCGGTTGATAAATCTGGATGCTTCAGAGCTGTACTGTTCCATAGGGTTGAGACTAGCCACACGTGACCGTTAAGTACTTAAAATGTGGTTAACCCAAATTGAAATGTGCTTTAAGGATAAAATGCACACTGAATTTTCAAGACTTAGTATGAAAAGAAAGAGCATATTTCTTTTAATGCATTTATATAGATGACTGGTTAATATTCTGGGTATGGTTTCTTTATACCTTTTCAAATTACTTTATGGTTTCAAAGTTTTCAGTCCCATGGCCAGCCGCTCCCTTGTTTGGGGCCTAAGGTGAAGTAAAACATTATGGTAGAGGAAAGCTGCTCTGCTCATGGCATCAAGAAGGAGAGAGAAACCAGGGAGAAGGTAAACCCTTCCAAGGTACTCCCACATTGACATACTTCCTCCAGCTAGGTCCCACTTCCCAGTTGTCCCTTCAGCTATCAATGGATTAATCTAGTAATGAAGTCAGCTCCAGTTATTTCCTAAAAGCCCCTGAACACATGAGACTTTGGGGGATATTTCAGGTCCAAACCATAACAATTGTAAATTTTTCATTGTTATAAATATTTTAAATAAGTAATATGACATGTTTTAAGCAATCCATATAAATGAAACCCATTGAAATTCCTGTGTCCCATTATTTAGTTCTTAATTCTAGTCAATGAAATTTCAGATCTCTCTTTCACTTGTATGTGACAGAGTGTGCAATAATACTACCACTTATGATTTGGGTAACTGTTACTTTAAGCTGGGTTTCCACTGTTGAAATGATTTTCCACCACTGTGAATGGTTCTTCATAAATTTTGAACAAAAGAAGGCACAGCATTCCCTCAATTTATTTTACTGGGTAAAAGCATTCCTTAAAAAAACAACAACAACAAAATTTAAAATTAAAATTACACAAAATTTTACTTTGTGATTATATGTAAAATGGAGTTAGATTCTGAGCTCAGATTATTATAAATGGGATTTCCCATTTGTATAATTTTCCATGTAAGGACATTAAAAAGTTATGTGGGATGGGGTGTGTGCTTGCACAGCATCCACCATTTCTGACTTACCTCTCAGTAAAACTAGATAAGTAACAAAAAGTAACACTTTTCTTCATTATGGCATCCCAAAACATCATCCTTACCATTGTTTGAAATGCCTACTTGAAGACAGAGCTACCCTCTTTGAGAACTGTTCTGAGATCTCTCTGCTGTCTGCTCCCTCTTCCATCCCATAGCCTCTTACTCTGGATTCAAACTTTTTCAACTTAGCCACTAATTTTGGCCTAGGTACTTACCTCCTACTTGCTCTCATGCTACCTGACACACTATATTATAGTTTCCAGTGGGCCTGTGTCTCTGTTAACAGTCTCAATTCTGTGACAGCAGGAGTACCTACATGTCTGTCACTTTTGCATCTCCAGTCCCTGGCATAAGGGTCCAGGCTCAAAGTTAGAACCAAACAAAATTTTGAATTAAAAAAAGAGAGAGGAAAAAATGGATAAAGAAAACATGTGAAATGGATTACAAAATAAGCCTCTGACTTTGTGTTTATAGTGGTAAATTCAAGATAATAAAGGCCCTATTTTTATGAAGCTGTGTATATTGTTGTTAACTAGCAACATATGCCAAGACTGAGGTTAATTGGGTCATGTGCCCAAATCACTGTCTGAATTTCCTCTTCTTCATTCTTCAACTACATACCACTCCTCTTATCCCTCCTGCATCTTTCCACAGTAACCAGTTTCCCCTGACCCACCATTGCCCCTTCTTTATGAAGAACAGAGTTCTAGAGGAAATATGTGACTCACATACAGAAGGTCATGTTTGGGTATTGTTTTTGTGTTCTCATTTTTTATGTGACATTTTTAGGTTGCTTGCCATAGTGATTGCTCCCTTTTATTTTAAACTATTTTACTATTTCAAAATGAGTCTTAAGCAAATGTAATTAACCTTGCCTCTTACTGAGCAAATTAAAAAAAATTTAGGGACTTTTGAAGTCTAAAGATTATACGAGTTTGTGGAGTTGATTAAATAAATCTCTTTAAAAGAAAAAAACCTTAAATTTGAATTTAATATATGGGATTACACTTACCAAATCATAATTTGTTTTGATGGCCTGAGGACTATTTCATCTTTTTAAATTTGAAATGTAATAATCTGAATATAGATATTCTACTGAGGATCTTTTTCTGAAAAAGTAACTTTTATAAGATTAATAGCAGTGGATTTTCAAGAAATTTCCTCAAAATACATATTATATGTTTTATAAATCTATGTAAGAATACATTTTTCCCATCATGTGTGAATAGCAAAAAATGAATGGGAATAAGAGCAATGAATGTTGTAGTTGCTCTTTTTAATTATGCATTCCATTCTTTATTTTTCTCAATTTTCTCCTTGTCTTAGCTGATCTTCAATTATAAACTGAATCAAATTTTAAAAAATTTACTGCCTACCTATTACCTTTGTGGATAAATCAACCAATAAATTTATCTTTAGGATCACTGTACCATCTATGTGAAAGGGCCTAGGGATAATATTCTCTGTTCTTATTATTGTTCAGTCTTGTTGGTGATAATATTTGTGAGTGTCAGTCAGTGAGTTGGTCTTCCTTCCTTCCTTCCTTCCTTCCTTCCTTCCTTCCTTCCTTCCTTCCTTCCTTCCTTCCTTCCTTCCTTCCTTCCTTCCCCCCTCTCTCTCTCTCTTTCTTTCTTTTTTTCTTTCTAGAATGAGTGAGAGAGAGGCAGGTATAAGTTCATCTTGAATTAAAATTCAGTTTATTTGTTTTTTTCTCCCATTTTTTAGTTGTAGATGGACACAGTCACAATACTTATATTTTATTCACTTATTTTTATGTGGTGGTGAGGATCGAACCCAGTGCCTCACAGGTGCTAGGCAAACACTCTTTAACACTGAGATATCATCACAGCCCCCAAACTCAGTTTTAATAATAGTCAATATTTGTAGCAAACTCAACATGGTGTAGATCTGAGCGAAGAGTAAAGAGTAAACTAGTATTATCTTCTATAATAATGTTTCAATCTTAAACTAGTGTGTTTAGTACTTCCTGAAAGTACAGCTCTAGTATTTGCTTACATGTTTCTTTCCAAATAATTTCTCTCCAAAAAAATTGTCAAGTTTTCAATTTATAAAATATAACATTATAGAACATTTTCTCTATAACTCTTCTCAGCTGTGTTGTATGTTAATTTAAACAGTGATTTGTAATTGCATAGTATTAAAAAATAAACACTAACTCAAAGTTATTTAGGGAAAGGCAAGTCTAATTATATATATCAAAACAGTTGGAATTTAAGGATAAGCCAGTACAGTTGCATAAAATTATCTTACAGCATGTTGTTAAAAGTTATTAAAGAGGAAAAAATGAAAGTTATTAAGGGGGGAATGGTAGTTAGGGATTATATTATTCATAAACATTTTTATGAAAATATTAATTACTTGAATTAATGTAAACCAATTCAGGGGGAAATCTTAACAGTTTGTTTATATAATTCATTTGCTATACAAGTCCTTTCCTTTGTGAATATCTGATTTTTTTCAGCATGGTCCTATAATGAGTGGGTTGATAAAATTTTACTGAAAACAAGTATGTCACATCAGGCAATATTGAAAGATACTTTTCCTTGTGTTATGGCTGTCATTGAATTGATCAGAAATACTTGAAGTATTTAAAATAATGTAGTCTTATTATGTTCTCATCAGAAGATAACCTTCAAAACTTTGTAGATCTTGCATAGACGTTAGCAACAGGAACACATGTTTAGTCATAGGTTTCTGGCATGTATGTATTTGTTCTCTGCATAACACTCATGAACCAGCTCTGAGATTTTTGTCTTATCCATTTTCCTGAAGAGCCAGGAATCGGCAAGAATCACCTGTGACTCACTCATGGGCCTAGATGAAGTCTTTATCTCCCCTCCTTTGCTTTTGCTTTTGTTTTTTCTTCCCCACCCCTCTTTATATTTTCTTTATGGACATATTTCACTTAGTTTATAAAAAATGATATGAGATTAATTATAGAGAATCATTCTTGCTTTGTCTACTTTATATTTTAAACACACAATGCCTCCACTGACTTCTGTTATTGCCTTTTTTGTTTTTCTCTCTCTTCCTGCACAAGCACTCCTATCTGGACAGGGAAACATCCCTTCTTCTGAGAAACATTGCAGGAAAACCTTCTCATTTGCTGACCAAGGTGATCCTACTGCTTTCCACATGCATGTAACTATTTACTGCCTTGTAGGTAGAATATAATTTGTTTTTGATTGTGCCCTCAGATTATTGTTTTCTTATTTCAGCACCTTTGTCTTTAATAGAGCTACTTTTTTTCCTCACCAAATGTAACTGTCTACTTAATAACTGTTGGAAGATATCAAGAGTAGAAAATATTTTTGGTAATTTTCAGTAGTTTTTAAACTTTTGTAAATGCCTAGTAGTCTTCTAGTTTAATGTTCTATTGCATTTTTAAATCGTTGCTTTAATTTTAACCTTTGTTACTAATGGCTATCTAAACTATGAATTCTTTAGCAAGCTGTATAATTTTTATTTATATTATCACCTCCTAGTTTAATTAAAACATTTACTTATGTAAATAGAATCTTGATGTTTATGAACTTAATCAAGTTGGAGGAGAAGGCTGCAATTTTAATCTCTTAGTTTGCAACCTCAGAGAGGTTTGAATCAGTCCAGCTGAATTTTCGTTGGGTTAGTGGTTTTCAACAATTTAAAATCTTTTAGCAGTCAACATCATTAATCAGGAAATAATAGAATCAGGAAGCTGACTAGCTTTCTATCTATTTTCAAGTCATGTCTGTATTTCATTATGTTCTTTAAGTGTTGTAATATTAAATTCAAGAATGTCAGATTAGATCATTCAAACTGTGCTGAGGTGTGACATGTATATTGTACATGCAATGAAGTTACCCTTTTCAATAGATTCTCACTGCAGAATGCACACAGCAATTATGGGTAATGCCTCTAAGTTGTTACTGTGTCTAAGGGTTTTTTAAATTCATTGGTTCCTAACCTTGTAAACTTGGGAAAGAATTTGATAGACTAAAATTAAAATCTCCTCAAGAACCAGCTCAAAGAGAAGACCCTTTGACAAAGAAAACAGTGGGATCCTTTCTCTTGCCTAGATTTCTTTTTTTAATGTAGGTCTGTGAGTGGAGGTAAAGGTGTAAAGCTTAGGCCAAGTGCAAGGTCACTTAAGCAGGTTCTAGCCATGTACTTTATAATCTAAGCAAAGTTGTTTTTTTTTTTTTTCCTTTTTTTCTTTTCCTCAGCTCTTTTCTGCCTTCTGTACTTGTGAGAACACATTTCCAGGTGGTTTCAAGGGTTTCCTCAGAGATCACCAGTATCTTGCTAGCACTTAAATCCCTTAGGTGTTAGCCTTTTATCATTCTTCCCAGAGCCCAACAATTTATTTTCATTTTCTTTTGACCTTACTGTTTCTACTTAGGATGCTTCCCTTCTCCCTTAACGCAAGTTAAACTCTCTGGTTATCATTGGCACCTTTTCTCTTCTAATATCTCAAGTCTGTAATGAAGCAGTATTTTTTAGTTTGCCCACCCATTTCATTTCCATTGCTGACCCCACCCTAATAATAAGCTCTTATCTCTTCTCAGAGATACTAGAGTAGTCTCTATTTTTGCCTGTTCCCCCTCCAGTTAATTTTGTATACTGTGCTTAGTAAAAGTTTAACCCTTTACCTTTACCATTTCTATTTATTAAAATAAGTAATACTTACAGAGTCAATATTTTGCTGGGTACAGTGATACAATATTGTGTAAAGTGGATATGTTCCCCATCCGTAGGACCTCACAGTCTACATACAAAGATAGATCATGAACATTGACAAAGAAGCACAGAAAAGAAATGTTAAGTGCATGAAGAAATCAAGGGAAAGGTACTCCTTTGAGAAGAGGATCAGGGGTCCATTTCATTTAGATAGTGAGATCAGAAAAGGTCTTTCTATGTGGGTTGCATATAAGGTAAAGCCTGAAGGATGAAAAGATGCAGCCTAACAGGAGAAGGGAGTGTTCCATGTAGACAGGCTGAGGGAAGAAGAGCTTGGCATGCTTGAGACCATATTGCTAGAGATGAGATGAAACAGTTAAGTTAGGGTACAAGTGTCTTGATTTGGGTCTAGAGAGGTAAGTAAGAGTCAGATCATTCAAACCGTGCTGAGATGTGGCGTGTATATTGTACATGCAATGAAGTTACCCTTTTCAATAGATTCTCTCTGCATTAGGGGGTCGGTATTCATATACATTATATATGAAAGTCACTATTGAAAAGTGTAACTTCATTGTCCACTTAACAGATACTTACTGATTACCTTCTGTGTTTGCAGCCCTGGAAATATGACAGCAATTTAAGCAAATTGTTTTTTCCATGGAAGGATTGTTCTTGGCAAGTTTTGGGTAAATGGGGCTAGTAACTTTTCTCCTTCTGCCCAAGAGAAAGCAATTCCAACTGCAGTAGCAGAGCCATTCTTGCCCTCATCTTATCTTCACCTTTGACCCAGTTGTGGCATTAGTGTATCTGGCCAACATCTGACTCTACCTACCTTATTTATACCACCCACCCTGCTTTTGTGGAACAAGAAATTTGAGCAGGATGCAGTTTGATGTATAGAATCTAAATACTTTGGGTGGCTTTGGGATGGTGTCATGATAGAGGTGATAAAAATTCCTAGGCAACTCAGCCACAAGAGCCTCTCAAAGGAGACTTAACCCTAGTGCTGATGGCAGTGCCCTCTCTGCTAGAACATCTGGCTGTTCTGAAATAAGTATAACCTTGTCTTTATATTTGGTGCTGAGGATCAAACCCAGGGCCTTACACATGCTCACTCCCCAGCCCAAAGTACATACCTCTTACCAACTGTGTGGCAGTCTGACTGTCCCTAGGAGTCTGGTTCCCTCTTTGCTGACTCCCTCTGAGAAGTCAATGTTTCAAAAACTGCTCTAATAACTACCTATATGGTCTTGAAAAGATAACAGTCTTTCAGATAATTGGTATAATGTATATAATAACAATACCAACCTTATAATTTTGTTGAGGTGAATGAGATTCTGTGTCTGATATACCTCATAGTGGCAAGTTCTAGGTATTCACTTAATGTTAGCTCTATTTGTGAGGCTATGAAGTTCGTGATTTCTTCAGAGGAAATAAACTAGTTGTTATTACTATTATTATTTTGGTTCAAAACTGTTATAGAATAAAGCAATTAATAGACATAAAGTTATTTATACTATACGTTCTCTGAATCATTTGAATTTTTAAAACTTTTAAATTATTGTAATCTATAAAATAAACTAGATTCCCAAGAAACTGCTAACTACTGTTTAGCTTCTTAATTTCAGTTGGGTTTGTTCTGAACTGAAAAGGCCTTAATTTCTCAATTGAAGGAATTCACTAGCCCTCTCTTAGAAGCTGTATATCTCTTAAGTACAGGTATGCTAATTTTTACACCACACACACTGTTTTAACACTTTATAATCATAATATTGTTTTTATTTAATCATAAGATTCTCACTCTGTTTTTGTCCTTTATATAAATTTCAGACAGCTTGGCATTCAGTGGTTATTGATAGCCATGCAGGCATTTTTTTTTCAGCAGAAAATTGGTTGTCTCTTTTCTTTTAAAAGATGCAGTTGGAGAGAAAATGATTCATATGTGTGAAGTGCCCTTTACTTCTATTTAGGATAGTAGTGAGATAGTATAAAGGAATAGTCAGAAGAAAAGAGACAGAAAATTTTAGACCTGAGTTTGTCAGTACAACAAGAGATGAAAAAGAAAACTTTGTGCTTTGTGTTAATCACTGAGAATAGATTTGCATTGCATTTATAAACAAACTGTTGCAGATCATCTGTATGTCATCTGAACATACCAGCAAAGATTTATTTCTTTTCCCATATTGCACAACACCAACATCTTAGGACAATTTATTTTTTCCCAAGTTGTTATGGTTAAAATATATGGTTAGAGGGCTCATTGGTATAGAGCTTGCCTCAAATGTGTGAGGCACTGGGTTCAATTTTGAGCATTGCATATTAATAAACAAAAAAGTCCATTGACAACTAAAATATATATACACACATATATATTATGTATAGTTGTAGCTTAACTATAGCAGATATAAATAGAACTTAACCAAGGAAGTTTCTTAACCCACAGGAGCATCAGATACTGTGAAACTTGCAACTTGATGAAAGTATTTTTCTTTCCTGTTTTGCTCTAGAAGTGATATTCAGACACATATTCAGAGGCATCATGATCAATTCTGTTAACTCAGAAAGCTTCTGACAGGGATTATCCTTGTAATAAGCTGGAGAAGATAAACTAAAATATGCCTATATTAAAATTAAACAACTAGCTCAAATTTTAATTTGATACAATTTTTTAACTATGTTTTACTTTTTTAAAATATTTGGTTTTTAGTTGTAGGTGGACACAATAATCTTTATTTTTTTAAAAAAGATGAATTTTTTATTTTTTATTATTTATTTTTTAGTTTTTGGTGGACACAACATCTTTATTTTATTTTATGTGGTGCTGAGGATCGAACCCAGCACCCCACGCAGGCCAGGCGAGCACACCACCGCTTGAGCCACATCCCCAGCCCCTTTATTTTGTTTTTATATGATGCTGAAAATTGGACCCAGAGCCTCCTGTGCTAGGCAAATGCTCTAGCCCTGAGCCACAACCCCATCCCCTTGATACATTTTTTATACAGACCAATTTATGTAGCTGTTGAAGAAAAATATTTGAGCAATAGGAAAGTAGCAGAATGTAGATTTTCCCCACCTACCTGCTTTACATAAAAATGATTTCCTAATGTCTAAGAAGTCTAATTGGCTTAATGTGTTAATTGGTCTCTTGTTTATATAATACTTCCAGTGTGTGGAGCAGAAACAGATCTCTGAGTTTAAGCTAATCCTATTATTGAATGACTTTTCATGTCAGTGCTTCAAAAGATAGCTCTGATTGTGTTCTATTGCATTTGACAGTAGCATAAAAAAATAGGAGCATGTAAATACTATTTATAAATATATCAATATAACTTTTAAATTTTATATTATTTTTGAATAGATTTTATTTTTTAGAACAGATTTAGGTTCTGACCATGTATCCACCATTATAATATACACAGTAATTTCACTACCCTGGAAATCCACTGTACTCTGCCTCTTCACCCCTCCTTTCCTGTGACCCCCAGCAACCACTAATATTTACCATCTGCAAAGTTTTGACTTGTCCAAAATGTCATGTAGTTAGAATTATACAATATGTAACTTTCAGATTGACTTCCTTCACTTACTAACATGTATTTTAAGATACCTTCATGCCTCTTAATGGTTTGATAGCTCATTTCTTGTTCTTTTTCTTTTTAAAATTTGTATGTTTAGATGTTGATGGACCTTTATTTTATTCATTTATTTATATGTGGTGCTGAGAATTGAACCCAGTGCCTCACACATGCTGGGCAGTGTTCTACCATTAAGCCACAACCCTAGTCCCATTTTCTTTTTAGTGCCAAATAATATTCTGTTGCCAGGATGCACCATAGTTCATTCACTTTCTGGAGGACATCTTTGTTGCTTGCAAGATTTGGGCATTATGATAATTAAAGCTTCTATAAACACCTGTGTGCAGGATTTGGGATAAATTTTCAACACATTTGGGTAAATACTTAGAAACATGATTACTGGGTCACTTGGTTAAAGAGTATGTTAAGTTCTGTGAGAAACTGCCAAACTGTCTTCCAAAGCGGCTCTACCATTTTGCATTCCCACAAGTGGTAAGTCGGAATTCCTGTTGTTTCACATCCTCATCAGCATTTTGTATTGTCAGTGTTTTGAATTTTGTCCATTCTGATAAATGTATAGTGGTATCTTATTTTAATTTGCAATTCCCTATTAGCAAAGAATATTGACCATTTTTCCTTAAATTTATTTGCCATCTGTATGTCTTCTTTTTTGAGGTGTCCAAAGAACTCCTGTTTCGTATTTTTGTTGAGGTATATGGGGTTTTTGTTTTGTTTTTGTTGCTTGTTTTGGTTTTTTAGTTTTAGATGTCTTTTGCTGCAACTATTTCTCTTCCAGTCTGTGGCTTGTCTTTTTTTTTTTTTTTAATGTTTTCAGCTTTGAAGATATCTTCTAAACTTTTTTTAAATGTGTGCAGATTGATTATAATATTATAAAGAATTTGGCCATTTGGAAGTTTATATTTGTATTTCAAATACCAAACACATTGTCCACATCAGTTTTTCCTCATCAAACTTTAAATTTACTTTTTGGCAATGTGAAGTGGAACTTTCGAATTTGGCTTGGCAAATTTTTTTTTCTTTGAAGCACCATTCATGCACAAGGATGAGGGAATGGCAAATGCTTTCTAGTGGTTTTTATGAAATCAGTTACTTGACAGTTCAAAGTATTTTAAATTACTTTATAGAGCTGTGTTGTACTCCTCAAAAACACATAGGGTTTGGTAATTTGCCTGGTAATGACTTTTATTTCTCTAAAACTGAATTCTAGAAACAATGATAATAGTTAAAGCTTTCTTTCAAGCTTGCTTTTAAAAAGAAAATGTAGTCACCACATTTTATAATTATTTATTTGCATAAAGCATGGGGAAATAAGATGATTTAGTCAAAGGAATATATCTATAATAGTACAAGAACTGAGTTTTATCTTATTCCTCTCTACTGTGAAAATAATTGGGTTTATAGATAGTATTTCCAGACCTTGGTTATTATGTTTGTTTACTGGCTCCTTTCACTGAAAGGGATCAGATTTCTGGCTAACAAGCTCACTGTCTACCCTATCCACTGTTTCTCTGTTCCACATAGTAAATACTAAGCTCAAAATGAGGGGAGACCGCGTAGAGTATGAAATGGAAAGAGAAGCAGTTAGAAAGCCATCAAAATTTAGGTGGACAGAAAATAAATCTTTTAAATTAATTGAGTCTTTGCTTTTTGCCCTGGATGCTTTAGCTTTTTAATGAAAAATAGCATATGGATTCTGGTGTTTAATAACAATCCAGAGAGAATTAATGTTGGATTGATATAAATTATTTCTCCTTTAAAAGACATTAAATAAAAGAATATGTAGGATGATACTTTATGGGGTTTTTTTTAGATATTTTCCAGATTAGTAAAAAGCTTAAAAATAATCCTTTATAAACAAAAGTTTACTTATGTTTTTTTTTTTCAATTGGTGATTAATGCTACAGTATATTATGGCCTATTGCTGGAAATTACAAGTAAGTACTGGTGTTAGAGTACTGTGTGCTGTTTCACACAAATAAAATAGAAAAATTGTTTACTTCTAGTTCTTTATAAATTTTACTACTGCTTATAAACTAGTTTATAAGTAGAAGTTATTAGAAATTAAGCTGTTTGGAAAGTTACACTTAGCATTTTTTAAAAATCTGATAAATGAATAAATAGAAATAAATTTGAATTTACTGATGTGATTATATTGTATGATTTTCCAAAGCAGAGTAAAACAGGATGCAACAGCCACCTGTGTTTTTATTAGTAATTGATAATGTACCTGTATTTATTATTTATTAAGGGTTTTTATATTTTTTGAAAATAAATACATAATTGGTTTTTGCTGTAGATACTTTTTTCATAGCTTTATTGAAGTAAAATTGAAGTACAATAAAATGAACATATTTGAAGTATGCTGTAGATATTTTAAAGGTGATGATACATTTTCACTGTAACAGAACAAAATAGTATGCAAAAGGTTGCCCATACTTTGGAAGGAGTTACGGGATTGTGTAAGTATAACTAAGTGGCAGGCCCATAGACGGCTGTTATTTCCCCAAATCCAAAACTTGAAATTTAACTGCTTTATATTGATGGGATCAGATTTACTAATTTACTACATTAGAGTTCTCCCCTCCCTCTTATAATATGGAATCTAATTGTATTGTAAGACATTTTCAGGTCTGCATCTGTAAAAATGCTCTTTCCTTTACCACGTTTGCTTTCATTTTATGAAGAGGGCTATTTTTTAAATGTGCTCTACATAAGCATATGATGGTATATTCTTTTTTTTTTCTAATTTGTTATATATAACAGCAGAATGTATTTCAATTTATATTACACATATGATAGTATATTCTTAATGAAATCCAATGCTAGGAACAGCCTTAAAAATAAAATAGATTTCTCAGATAATTCATTAGTTTATCTGAAATGCTTTATGTTCACAGGAGGAACAGGCAGCAAAATTGAAAGCGGAGAAGATCAGAATCGCCCTAGAGAAAATTAAGGAGGCACAAGTGAAAAAGGTGATATGCAGGCTTTTGCCTGATTTCTGATTTTATCAGTTGTATGGATTTATGAAGAACTGCCTTATTTACATCATTTTCCTCTAATGTATGGAGTGGTAGGGGGGTATTTCTTCTAGTAATACATTTTTCACATGTAAAATTTTTTTTTTGGGTAAGATGTATTATATAGGAATAACTTTCATTCTGAAGTCTAAAAGAATAAAATGGAAAGGTCTCTTAATACTCTTCAATATTGTATCTTAAAAGACTTTTTTAAAAATATTTTTTAGTTGTCAATGGACTTTATTTTGTTTATTTATATGCAGTGCTGAGAACTGAACATAGTGCCTCATACATCCTAGGCAAAAACCCTACCAGTGAGCCACAATCCTACCCCTTAAAAGACTTTTAATATTGATATTTAGTTTTTAGTTTATCTTTTGATAAATCCATTATTTCCATTTTAATTTACAAAGATATTAAGCAGAATACTAGTTGATATTACAATAAATCCTTTTCTAAAATGCCATTATTTGGTCTTCATTTAATTTTATTTCTACCTGTTACAGCTGGTGATTAGAGTCCACATGTCTGATGACAGTTCGAAAACAATGATGGTAGATGAGCGGCAGACAGTGAGACAAGTGCTGGATAACCTGATGGACAAATCCCACTGTGGTTATAGTTTAGACTGGTCTCTGGTAGAGACCATTTCTGAGTTACAAATGGGTTAGTAATATCATTGCTTTAATTGCTTTTTAATTTCTGTGCAATCACAATGGTTTTCATGGTGATAGAAGCATTTTAAGACATCTTTATATTTTTTTCTATAAAATAACCAGGCAGTTTACCTTTTATAATTTGGCCTTTTTTACATTACTTTTTTTCTCAGCTATTTTGAGAGGTCTTTGAATACTAAGCAATTTGCAGTTTACTTCAGTTTTAAAATGGTTAAAAACAAAGTTTTTTTTTAAGATGACAAAATACATTTTCCTTCAAATAAAAACTGCATACATCAATGCATTTACTAAGACTTATATTTATTTTCATTTGTAATTAAACCTTACCACCATTTAACTTTCAGGGCAAACAAAACATGAACAGATTTCAAAGAATCAATATCTAGAACATGTTCTTTAACATATGTTCAATATATATAAACATTCTTTGATACTTAATTTGGAAGTTAGAAAATGTATTTATGTTTAAAATTAAGTACTATTCATGAACCAAAGAAGAAATCGTATTGGAAATTCTTTGAATGTAAAGAATTAAATACTGTTGGCAGCACTTGATATTAAAATTTATAGAATGCAAATAATGTGTTTATTTTTTAAGGATGGGATGGATAAAAGCTAAAGACTAAAGAATGATGTACAGATCAGAATACCTAGATTCTAGTCCTAATTCTTACCTGTCAATTGTCACTTTGTTAAGTCACTTCACATCACTAGGCCATGTTTCCTTTTACAAAAAATGAGGGAAGACAGATATTTTATCTGTAAGGGACAAGGATGTAGTGTTTATTAAGATTCTATAATTTTTTAAAAATATTTTTTAGTTGTTGATGTACCTTTATTTTTTATTTATTTATATGTGGCGCTGAGGATTGAACCTGGTACCTCACACATGCTAGGCAAGTGCTCTGCCACTTAGCCACAACCCCAGCCCGATATTCTGTAGTTCTCAATGTGAATTCTTCACAAGGTTTCATGTCTTGTAATTCTGGTGAATACTAACAAAATATTGATTCTTTATTTTGGGTTAGAGAGAATATTTGAAGACCATGAAAACTTGGTTGAAAATCTTCTTAATTGGACAAGAGATAGCCAAAACAAGCTTATATTTATGGAGCGTATAGAAAAATATGCACTTTTCAAAAACCCACAGGTAAGACTGAATGAATAATTACAAAGGTCAGGGTCTTTTAAATATATGCCCTATTTAATTCTGATACTGCTAAGTTAATAGAGTTTAAAAGACTGGCAGCCACTTGATTAGAGCAAAGCAGCTGCAAAACCCTATGAGAGCATTCATTAGTACTCTTGAGGTGTAAAGTTAGCTGAGCTCACTTCAGGGCCCACTGTGAAGTTCCCAGTCCCACAGAGCCAGATGGGACACACCCTTGGTGAAACAGAAGTAGCTCTAGGGAGTTACCAGGCTTCCCTGTATTCCAGAGCTGTTTTGAACCCAGCAATTTCTTCAGTGAATTTTACATCTATCTTGTCAAAGGAAAAAAATAATCTATCTTAAGCCATTATCCAGTTGATACTTATTTGGACTTATTTTAAAAATTTTTTTTAAAGCCCAGTGAGTGGTCTCTGATTTTAAAGGGCTGCACACTCCAGTATATGTTATCTTGATTTACTTGGCATCTTTCCTCATTCCAAAATAAATAATATTTCCCAATACCTAGACGGTTTGTGAAAATCAATAGACTAGGAAAAATATCTCCACCAAAAACAAAGTAGAAATGAGAAAAACAGTAGCAGTGTTAAAGGAATTGAATAGTTACCCTTCAGGCTTAATCATGACATAGCTTCTTGATATTTTAGTGAAGGTTACATACATATTTGAGGGTGTCAGCAGATGTGTGATTAAAAATAATTATGCTAATGATTACAGTTCAGATTTTTGTTGAACCAAGCAAATGAAATATGGTCTCACAGGATTTGGGATTTCTTCTTAAAAATCCACAACAATCAAATTTTCTGCATCTGGATCTGTTAAACAGCATATTTTAAGGAAATTTGCTTTACTTGTACTTAATAATTTGTAAACCTTTCAGGTACTTTAAATGTAGCTTTCATTAGTTATCCCAGAACATATTTGTCAGCTGTTGCATGTAATATCACCTCAGGACTTGGAGAAGGCAGTTTGGGGAATGATTCACAGCAAGTGTTCAGGCAGGAAGCTGGGGCTAAGCATTTTAGTGATGATACCCATATACATATGGGGAGTTTTTGAAGCATTCCTCTAACTGTGCACTGGCAAAAATAGATCTAGAGTTAGTTGCTGTTTCTCTTGAACAAATCATATACTCATCTCTACCAAGGGAATAGTAGAATGAGTTTATCCTTTAATTTTCATTTTATTGTTTTTCCAGAATTATCTCCTAGGGAAAAAGGAAACAGCTGAAATGGCAGATAGAAACAAAGAAGTGTTGTTGGAGGTATGACTCCCTACCCCCGTTTTTCCTACACATTATTAAATTAAAATATTAAGCATCTTTTGGAACCTAGTATATTGGTCCTCCGTATTCATAGTTAAGAAACCTGTATTCTTTGATAGCATGAGGGAGAGAATTCATCTGTGTGAACGTTAGGTCATTAAAGAGAACTTTTTAAAACGAGTAATATTCTAGTGGACTAAAAGGAGTAACAAATTTTTAGGGTTTGTCGAGTTCCGAGGACAAAGCCTATCAATGAAAGATGTGGTTGTGCTATTTTTACCTCCTTTTTTTTAGAGAGAAATTTGAATATAACTAGCAATTCACAGAATATGTCAAGCCTTAGCCATAAGTAACTCAAACAAATTCTTAAATTATAATGATCATTTTTGGAAAATCTTATCTTACAGAGTAATAAATTTAAATCTACCCCAATTTTTGGCCCTTTGGCTTTTTCTAATTTTAAAGAACTAAAATCAAAGAAGTTAGTAAGTTGAAAACCTGAATAAACTCTTACCAACAAGGCATTAGGAAAATGAAGATCAGCACTCAATTTTTCCTAGTGATACTAGCTACACTTAAGAAAAAAAATTTTATGATTTCCAGTTTCTCTATATACTTTGAGGAGAAATTAATTAGAATATCCTATGTTATTGTTTAATTAGGATTTTTTTTTACAAATACATAGTTGTTTTTAATATTAGATTTTTTATTTAAGCATGGACAATGGAATTCAGAATTTTGAGTTTATTATTTTCAACCTAGTATTAAATATTTTATTATAAATAAATGCCCTCTTAGACCATATAAATTGATACAGTTTTAAAATTTTTATTAATTATTCACTTGGCATGTTACTTTCTTTTTAACTTTATTACTCTTTAGCTTGACAGCTAATCTGTTGTAATGTTAATTGGAGAAGAAGTTTAATATTTATGTCAGTTTGACATTTTTATTAAACTTAGTGTAATTATGCTCTTTAGAGTTCATTTAACTACTGTTTATACAACTCAGTTGATATTTCAAGCTAGTTTCTCCTCAAAACGTTGGATAAAAGTTTGTAAAAAAATTCAGTATTTTATTTATGACTGGTATTTTTTTACTTATTAAATATTTAGGGATTTCTTTAGTTGTTCAAAAATAATTCATACTGTATTTAGAGAATTTTCTAATTCTAATTCAGATAAAATCAGCAGCATGATTTTAATACAGAACCATCTTGGCTTAATTACAGTGTCATGCATCTCACTGGAGTAGACACATCTTTTTTCCTTGATAAGTCAAGGATCATAAGTCTTTCCAAATCATCTTCTTATTTTAGGAATGTTTTTGTGGAAGTTCTGTAACTGTACCGGAAATTGAAGGAGTGCTTTGGTTGAAAGATGATGGCAAGAAGTCCTGGAAAAAACGTTATTTTCTGTTGAGAGCATCTGGTATCTACTATGTCCCTAAAGGAAAAGCAAAGGTGTGTGCTTTCTGTAGACTTGTTCCCCTCATTATGCTGATCACTCTTAATCTGTGCTGTGTAGGAAACACAGATGGCTTTATTAATCTAAAGAGGAGGAAACCTGAGAATTTTCACTTCTTTGATTATTAATAAATTGGGCACATCTTAATTTTCTTACCAAATTTGAAAACATTGTTTTGTTTATTATTTGTGGAACTCCAGCTGGAGTAGTTTTGTTCGGGGGAGAATAATTTTATGGAATTACAGCCATTTCAATCTTAAGTAGTGGGCTTTTTGCTATTAGTACCATTGGTATAGCTTTTGTCTTCTGTGCTCATTGGGGTTTAGGACTGTTTTAAGCACTTTATGGTATCATCTAGTTTTAAACCAATCTTATGAGTATATTGTGACCCTTATTTAACTGATAAGAAAACCTTCAGTTGAGAATTTCTGTGTTTGAGATATGCATTATAGGCACTGAACTACTTGATCCAGAAAGCTCTCTTGTATTATATTGATTGTAATATGCCATGCTTTATTTAAATTATCTTTAAAATGTCAGTAACTCAGTGTTCATTATGAATGGCAAGACAATAAGCAAAAATGGCCTAGCTTTTTGGTTACATTGCCAATCAAAGAACCATTTATAGAGCATCTCATTCTCTTGTCTTCTATAAAGTAGCTGTAATTTCTATTTAATGTCTTAATTCTCAACTAAAAACTGTTACCAGATGTGATATTTGCTTGCATCCACATTGTTGTCAATTTAATCTTTTGGGTATTTTTATCTAGGTCTCTCGGGATCTGATGTGTTTTCTCCAGCTGGATCATGTCAATGTTTATTATGGCCAGGATTATCGGAACAAATACAAAGCACCTACAGACTATTGTCTGGTGCTAAAGGTAAGTATGTTCTCTTTATAGGAATTTTAATTGATTAGACAGGTTTATTGGTCATTTTAGAATACTTTGAATCTCTATTAAGTAAACCATTTTTGCTCTGTTCAGTAGGTTTAATACATCATTATAGTAATTTTAATTGATGTTAGACATAGATTAAGGGCCATTGTAGAATAATTTGGATCTCTATCAAGTATACTATTTTTGCTTTATTCTTATAGGCTTAAAAAGGAATGGTAAGGCTGGGGATGTAGCTCAGTGGTAGAATACTTGCTGGCATGTATAGTCCTTAGGTTTCATCCCCTGCACTGCAAATTAAAAAAGGAATGGAGAAGGGTGGTAAGGGAAAAAAAAGTATATGTTATGCTATAGCTGATCCTTAGCCAATTAACTCTTACTATATTAGTGGAAATGGGAGTAGATGCTAATTTTATAATAAACTTTGAGCCGTAACACATAAAATATATTTGATTATAAATTTGATTATAAATACTGGACTTATTTTTTTAGACATTTTAGCCAAATGTGGGACCTGTTTTGTGTTTTAATTAGTTTTACTGTACTTAACTCAGAAGAACATCAGAGGGCACTGTGGCCAAGTTCAAAATCTATTGACTGTCTGGTCTAGAAATAATTTTTGGTTTTTTTCCCCCCAAACTAAAGCCATAATAGCCTGTGCTATCCACACTATTTGGGAGAGTTTTTTACTCCTTTAATTGGGCTTTTGAGCTTCTCTTACTGATTGTATCTGTACTTTTGAGAAGAATAGACAAATTTTTAGTCTTTTTCATGATCTAGAACATTGATAAAAATACCACACAAAAACTCAGGGAACTCCATCTTAGCAACCCTTTATTAACTTCTTAGGTCTACATGCTTACATCACACTATCTTCTCTTGGAATTGTCCATTTGGTTTTAAGAGTAGTGTTTATAAGAATTTTAAGTTAGAGTTTTGATTGCTTTGATAAAATTAGTTATGTTGTAATGGCAACCTTTTATTAAGTAATATTTTTCTCAGAGAACACCACTGTATCATCCAGGTTACTTTCAGGAGCAAACAAATTTTTTTCTTTTAGTTATTCTTTTGTTTTTCAGTACGGATATTAGAACCCAGAGCCTTGCTTGTGCTTGCTATTCAAGTGCTGTGCCACTGAGTGATATTCCCAGTCCTTTCTTAAGTTTTATTTTGAGATGGAGTCTCACTAAGTTTCCCAGGCTAGCCTCGAACTTGAAAACCTGCCTTAGCGTCCCAAGTAGTGGGGTTATAGGCACTACCATCTCACCTGGCTAGGAGCAAATAATTCTTGAAAATTCAGTACAAAGTAAATTCATTCAGCAGTTGTCCAAATGAGGTGCAAAGTCCCCTGGAGTCCCTAAGACCATAATATTAAAGTTATTTTTATAATAATACTAGGATGTTATTTGCCTCTCACAAATGTATAGTAGGATATTTTGAGAGGTTATATAACATACAACAGTATTTTTGCTTTCTTGGCTACTGTAATGTGTATTTATATAATCTTAATTTTTTTCCTGAGTTTTAATTGCTAATAAGGTAAATATTGAAGGGCGGAAAAACTCTACCTCCATTTTCTTAATTAGTTAAGCACGATAACAAGTTTTATGTGGCACAGAAGCTCTCATAAAGCAGTCAAGACCCAAAAAAGCAGTTAGAATTAGTTGCTTATATGCTGGATTGAACAAAGAAAAGTAAATTGTGAAAAGCAACTAAATTATATAAGGAGGTTTAAAAGAGAAGAGCTGTTTTAACAAGGTCTGTATAAAATCCTCTCAGTTTTGACTTCTCATGCTTGAAGATATTTTATCTCTGTAGCCTAGGGAGGGTGTCTTTTGCACTGGAATTCCATCTTCTGTTTATAAAAAGCAGCATGAAGCTCAAAGTGATCTTTTTGTATCTGCTGTTTTCCATGTTAACTTAAATGGTATGTCAGAGTGGTATATTTTTGACTTCTTTACTCAGTAAACACCCCATATACAAAGGTATTCAGGGTGTCTCAAAATGTGAATATAATAAGCTGTGTTTCAGTGGTTTACACATGTTAAAAAGAACCCAGTTTTTTCCATCTTTCCCTGATCTGTCTTCTGCATGTCATCTTAATGGCCAGGCTGGCTCACTTCAGGGTATCAAGATGACTGCTGCCGTTCTAGGCATCAGATATAGGCCCAGCAAAATCTAGCTCTTTTTCTCCCTTTATTCATTTTTTAAAAGGAAGTCATTATTTCCCAGAAACTAGCCAAGAGCCCTACCTTTGTAGATTTTTGACTAAAAGCACATCTCCCATTCTTAAACCAATCACTGACTAGGGAAACAAAACCATTGGAGTGATTGATCCCTTATTGTTTAGAATTCATACCCTGTGGGACACTGGTGAGGGGTGGGGCTCTGCCAGGTAAGAAGTAGAGAAGAGATAGCTAAAGGGAAGGCAATTGACAATGTCTCATGAGTAAAATTAATTATGACCAGTAACTTGAACAAGTTGAACACCCCTAATCTGAAAATCCAAGATCTGAAATGCACGGAAATCCAAAACCTTTTAAGTGCCAACATAACATTCAGAAAGTTTCAGATTTTGGAAGCGCTTGGGATAAAACTCAGAGGTCGGGCATTCACAAGACCACGGGTTGACTCCTTCCTGACATTCCCCCAAAATCAAGTTTCAGATTTTGGAACATTTCAGATTTTGGAGTTAAGGGATGTTCAAGCTGTAAAGTCTCTGGATATACTCCAGAATTTTCAAAACTTTGAAATCTGAAGCATTTCTGGCCTTAGGCATTTTGCATACTGGATACTCAACCTGAATTACAATCCTTACAGCTCATAAAATTCTTTGTCTATTTTTGTGCTAAGGGTTTTTCTTATGTTTATTTTTATAACAATGATTTGAATGTTCCAGATTGACATTGAGTAGTTTGAGCTAAATTTATATTTTCTCTTTACATATAAAAATATTTAGTGTGTTGAAATGGAAGAGCATGGTGGAAATAACATTAACAGTAATTACCACCACTTAATTGTAGACCTCTAAGTTGATAAACCTGTGATAGAAGCTCCATACACTCAATCACAAGTCTATTCTGAGTCCCCATGTTGTAAATACAGAAACTAAGGTTTAGAGAGATCCATTTGCCCACGGCCACACAATTATTAGGATTTAAAAACCTGTTGTTGTTGCTGTTGTTTTCTTTGTAAAGTCTGTACTAATTTTGCCTATATAAATACTTTTATTCTTGAGTATATAAGTTCTAACAAATGAAAAATGTTATAGCACAGGGTCTACACAAATGCAAATTTATTCAGACTGTATCCCTTGAGTCTGAGTGCTCCAATGAAAGGCAGGATATGAGAAATCCACACACACTAGTAAAGGCTATAAAACACATTTTGGTAAATTTTTTAAAAAAAAATAATGGTAGAAAATGCTTACTCATGAAATTTGACAATGTAGAAACAAATAGGACACATGTTGATGTATCTGAAAGATCCACATTTGCTGGGACACGAGTATGCATGTATAATTAAATAAGTTTCCTAAAGGAAATCTGTTTTTTTTTTTTAATTACATACCAGTTATTATCTGGCTCATCGTAGCCACATCTAAAATTTCATCCCTAAAGAAATAAAGTAGGGCTGGGGCTATGGCTCAGTGATAAAGTGTTCATGTAACACTTGTGAGGCACTGTGTTTGATCCTCAGCACCACATAAAAAATAAATAAATAAAGGGCTGGGGCTGGGGCTCAGTGGTAGAGTGCTTGCCTAGCATGTGTGAGGCACCGGGTTTGATCCTCAGCACCACAAAAATAAAGATATAAAATAAATAAATAAAGTCATTGTGTTCATTTACAAGGAAAGGGGGAAAGAAAAGAACAAAAGAAATAAAGCAGCCAAGTACAGTGGCACACACCTGTAATCTCAGTGGCTTGGGAGACTGAGGCAGGAGGATCGTGAGTTCAAAAGCCAGCCTGAGCAATGGCAAGGCACTAAGCAACTCACTGAGACCCTATCTCTAAATAAAGTACAAAAATAGGGCTGGGGATGTGGCTCCATGGTTGAGTGCTCCTGAGTTCAAGCCCTGATACCAAAAAACAAAAAGAAAGAAAGAAGGCAAAGTAATTTATTTCAGTATGGTAGAAAAAGAAAGAGTAGTTTCTCATTTAGAGGTGAAATGTGAGCGTGAATTCCTCAAATACTGTTAGAAATAAAGAAGCTATCTATAGTATGGAAATAATAGGGTAAAGTGTTATATAGTTTCCCACCTCTTTTTGGTACCCGGGGGTGCTTAGCCACGGATCCACATCCAGCTATTTTTATTTTTTATCTTGAGACAGGGTCTTGCTAAGTTGCTGAGGCTGGCTTCACACTTTGATTCTCTTGCCTCGGTCTCCTGAGTTGCTGGGATTACAGGCATATGCCATAATTCTCAGCATAGTCTTATTTTTTTTCACGTATATGCCAGTTGAATGGATTTTCAAGACTGTATGTATGAGTTCCAAAGTAATAGGAGTATACATTGTCATTTTTATTTGGTTCTTGGACTGTAGTGTTAAATACCACTTTTAGTTAGAGTTATAGGAATTATCCATCAACATTTTTATATGAACAGAGAAATATAATCTTATAGCATAATAGTAATTCAGAATTTGTTAAATGTTTTATTTTCAAAAGTTTTTGTTTCATCAGTGAATGAAAACTTTACAAATCAACACCATTTTTTAGAAAATGAAATGATGACCTTTCTTTGTTACTGCTATTCAGCTGGAAGCGATTTCTTTGGGGTCTTTAAGAATCTAAATATTGACTTTCGGGTTTTAGCAATGATTTTCTCCTCTATATTTGCTCTTAGCTTTTGTTTGATTTTAAAAGGGGCAGAATAATATTGTAGGGGAATAGGAATTGGAAGGCTTTACCCCTAATAATGCAGTAGTGTGACAAATAGAGCCTGGGCACTAGAATGAGATGGATGGGTTCAAATTCCACTTCTTTCACCTTGGAAGCAACTTTAAGTGCTATCCTTAACCCTCTGTGCCTTATCTTTCTTCTGGGAACATGATATAATGTTATTAAGATAGTTTTCCTAAGGATTGAATGAACTTTTTAAATTGTGTGAAGCATTTCACATAATTTCTGATACATAGTAAGTGCGCAATAGATACCACATTTAATAAAAACAAGAATATATTAGTGGAACAGGCAACCTCTTGAGGTATTACTGGAGAGAGCGGATAACTAAGGACAGCTATGAATGCCTTTTTATGTGGGAAGGTGAAGTTTTGAAATTCTAAAATGAATTTTAAACTAGCAGGTAATCTGATGCTTTACTTAGAAATAAATAGTTAAATAATTATACCATACTACTCTTCAGGATATTCATAAATTCCCAGGTTAGAGATAAGGTGAGAAGGGTAGAGATTAATTTCTCTTCGATTTTACCTAATGTTAATTTTTTGAAAAGGAAACTCTATAAGAGAATGAATGGAATCACATAGTTGAGTGAATACCATGCAACCCATGGATATTCATAGTTGTAAATCACCAGAGAAGGGGAATGAAGGTAAATGCTAAGAGCCAGCCTGTAGTAGCTGGTTCAGTTCTCTGAATCACACTTGATAGGCAGCACCTACAAGAAGCAGAATAGTCTCTTGTAGCCCTACTGCTTGGCAACACTAAGAAAAATGTTTTTCATTCAACTTATTTTCTATTCTGCACATGCTATGATTCTTAGTGTTAAGGACCTTTCTATTTTGCTCATCACTGTATCTAAAAAAATGTAGTTGACATCTGGCAAATAGTTACTGCTTAATAAATATTTTTTGAATGATTAAATTAAGTAAAATTCCCCTTCCTCCTTTTATAGAAAAATAGCTACTTCTCTATCTCTTCTTCTTTGCTCTTTCAAGATTGCCATGGCAGTTTATTAGAATATGTTTTAGTGTGGAAAAGGAACTTTTCCAAGAAAGGACCTACAAAGTCAGGGAAGAAAACAATAGATATTGTTTTATTGCCTTTAGTATTATTTAGGGTTTATTATTTAAAACTTTGATGTAGTCTTCAACAAAGTTGGTTACATAGTAAATGCTAATGATAGGAGCTGAGTTCTACAAAGCATTTAATAGAGTAAGTGGATTTTGCATTGATTTCTCACATTGTCAATCACATTGATTAATCTTTAACAATGCAGATTTATAAGTTGTATTGGTGACCATCTATTCTAGTAGCATGAGAACATACTCAAATTGCTTATTTTATCATTGGTTTCCACATCAAATAAATGTGGTTGGGGATTGGGAAAAACTAAATAGTTTTAAACTAACTTCGGTAACATATAGCCTTCCCCCCACCCAATGTCTGAAAACAGCAGTAGTAATCATACATTAAATCCACTCCCAGTGTGATTTAGGGCTTTTCTTCCTAAGAAACTAGTGGTAGAGGCCCAGTGGAGTTAAAATAGCTAATGTCAGTTATTGAGATGTGCATGCTATAGTCATTCATGTCCCCCATCCATGCCTCAACTGACAAGTAGAAAGGGTTGTGGAAACTGATGATGCCACTGAGAAGCTGTTTATTCTGCTGGAGAGGCACACTGCATTCCTGCAGTCTGGTAGAGGGAGGAGTTTACAAAGCAGTGCTCTTTTATCTCCACCTCAGCAACAGGTATGGCCAAGTGTTATACTGTATGCATTGTGTATCAGGTCCACATATTCACCTCCAGGGGAGCATTGGAAGCTGGAAGCCTTATTAAAGATCTCTCCTTTGGAATCTTCTGAAGCCATGATATCAGTGTGTTCAAAGTGAAATCAAACATTCTCTTCCCTTTTTTTAGTCTTAAGATCAAGAATCCTATTCACTTAATCTTGATGGTTTACCTCCAGGGACTTTGTTTCTTTGAAATGTAGAAAAAAATAATTGGAAATTTCCCATGATGTGGAGGTTTACTTTAACTTGGGCATCTTGATCTAAGTTTTCACACAAGTTTCAGCTTGTAACAATATATAAGGGCTATTTATTTGTCCCTGTGGCCACATGAGAAATATATTCTCATGGCCTATAACAGGATAAGTTTTTCTTTGCTAGATTTTGGTTTCCTTCAGTTCTTTTCTTTTTAGTTGTAGATGGACACAATATCTTTATTTATTTATTTTTATGTAGTGTTGAGAATCGAATCCAGTGCCTCATACATGCAAGGCATGTGCTCTACCACTGAGCTACAATCCCAGCCTGGTTTTCTTGAGTTTTGTAAAAGACTTTGTTGTATTTTTTTCCTTCAATCTTGTAGCACCCACAAATCCAGAAGAAATCTCAGTATATCAAATATCTTTGTTGTGATGATGTGAGGACTCTACACCAGTGGGTCAACGGGATCCGCATTGCAAAGGTATATTTCCTTTTGGTTTGATGATGGAATAATGAAGCGTTTCATGATGTGCTTTTTATGATTGTTTCATGTTGATTTTGCCAGCATCTAGTTTCCTCAGGTCTAAAGTTTGATGCTTTAAGTGTTGCCTTTTTACTCGGTTATTGGGATGAACTTTTAGCAGTTGACATCCATGAAATAATACTGCTGATGGTAAAAGCTTAGGTAGCATCAGAGTGACTTGTTTTGGCTTTGAAGAACATATTATACGATTCTTATGCAAGCAGAGTTTAGCAAACTAAATTAAGTAATGATCATTTTCTATCCAGATATGGAGCACATTTCTGAATAGTGCTGAGGATCTGACCCTAGATCAAGAACTTGGGAACATTCATGATAAAGGAAACTGGGAATAAAAGGAACTTAATATCATAAAGTCTACAGCAAGCCTAAAACCAACATCATAGTCAATGGGGAAAACTGAAAGCATTTTCTTTAAAATCCAGAACAAGACAAGGATGTCCATTCTCACCACTCTTATTCAATATAATACTAGAAATTTAGCCAGTGCAAGTGGGCAAGAAAAGGAAATAAAAGGGATAAGAATAAGAAAGCAAGAAGTCCAATTATCACTGTTTGCAAATTATATCATCCTACACTTGGAAGATCCAGAAAGCTCCACCAGAAGACTGCTAAAGCTAATAAACATATTTAGCAAAGTAGCAGGTTATAAAATCAACATAAACCAAAAATTAACTTGCTAAAAAGAAATCAGGAAAACAGTTCCATTTACATTAGCCTAAAAAAAAATAAAATACCTAGGAATAAATCTAACCAATCAGGTGAAATACCTCTACCTACTATAGAATATTGAAGAAATAAATTGAAAAAGACACAAGAAGACAGAAATGCTTCCCATATTCATGGATAGGCAGAATTAATATTGCTTAAATGACCATTTTACCAAAAACAATATTCAGATTTCATGCAATTCCCATTAAATACCACTGACATTCTTCACAGAACTAGAAAAGACAGTCCTAAAAGTCATTTGGAAAAACAAAAGACCAAGGAATAGCCAAAAACAATTCTAAGCCAAAAAAAGCAATGGTATAAGCATCACAATACCTGTCTTCAAATTATACTACAGAGCTATAATAACAAAAACTGCATGGTACTGGATAAAAACAGACACATAAACCAGTGGAACAGAATAGAAGACACAAAGACAAACCCATATAGACATAGTAAAAAACATATATTGGAGGGTGGGGAAGGTGCATGTAGGCAGGAAAGATGGTAGAATGAGATGGGCATCATTACCCTAGGTACATGTATGACTGCATATATGGTGTGATGCTACATTGTGTAAAACCCCTGAAATGAAAAGTTGTGCTGTATCTGTGTACAGTGAATCAAAATGCATTCTGCTGTCATATATACCTAATTAAAATAAATTTTAAAAACATACATTGGAGTAAAGACTTCCTTTTAAACAATGGTGCTGGGAAAACTGGATATCCATATATAGAAAGAGGATACTGGATCCTTATCTTCATTTTGCACAAAAATCAACTCAAAATGGATCAGAGACCTAGAAATTAAACCAGAAACTATGACCTCTAAAGCTTGTTAGAATAATAATGAGTTAATTAATGGCATCAAATTAAAAAGCTTTTGTGAAGAGAGAATGGGAGAAAACCTTTGCTAGTTACTCTTCTGACAATATCAAGAATATATAAAGAACTCAAAAAACTTAACCTTCAAACCAAATAATCTAATTAATAAATGGGCAGTTGAACTAAACACATTTCTCAAAAGAAGAAATACAAATGACCAACAAATATATGAAAAAAATATTCAATACTGGGGAATAATACTGTCCCAATTATATTGTTATATTGTGTGCACACATGCATACTAACAATGAATCTCACTATTATGTACAATTATGCACCAATAAATGTAGAATAAAATAATTGGGGGTGAAAAATATTTATATCTATAGTAAACATAACCTGTATCCACTGTTGATATCTTGCTGGCCTTCTACAAATGAGAAAAAATAAGAATAAGTTATTATTTGCTAATATTAAAAGACAATGGAAGCTGGATGTGGTAGCACACACCTGTAATCCCATATCTCGGGAGGCTGAGACAGGAGGAACCCAAGTTCAAAGCTAGCCTCAGCAAAATCAAGGTGCTAAGCAATTAAGTGAGACCCTGTCTCTAAATAAAATACAAAAATAGGGCTGAGGATGAGGCTCAATAGTCAAGTTCCCCTGAGTTCAATCTCTGGTACTCAAAAAAAATAAAAAGACTATGGAGTATTTTATATATTTAAAAAAACTATGAATCAATAAAATGTGCCTCCCTTTCCTCCCTCATCCTGTTATGCCTTACCTCATAAAATTCAGATGTCATTATTTACTGTCTTCTGTTTAGTATGGGAAGCAGCTCTACATGAACTATCAAGAAGCTTTGAAGAGGACTGAATCAGCTTATGATTGGACTTCCTTATCCAGTTCCAGCATTAAATCAGGATCCAGTTCTTCTAGCATCCCAGGTAGTTCAGAATGCCTGAAGGCACTATCTTTACTACTAGTATGAAGTCTTTATATTGAAACTGATAGTAGACCTAATAACTTGAACTTTATTCTTAAAAACCAGAGCCATTCCTAATTTCCAAATTATAATCCATAGAGACTTTTTTTTTTTTTTATTTTACAGGGGGCAATATCACAGACTAGTTCACAAATGTATTTGAAATGGACAGTCAGTATATAGACTTCTAAAGCCAGGAGTTTTATTATTTATGTTTATGAAAGTTTGTTCAAAACTTACATGTTACTGAAATGTATGGAATAAAGTTGCTTTGAGGAGTCTTTACTCAGAATTCATGAGGAAGCTGTCTTCCTTCCACACAAGTTTTCTTCCATTTCAGTGGAATGGAAACACCTGGAACTGGTTCTGAATTATAGTTAAGAAAACCATTTAAGTCATCACACTTACCAGGACTTTCATAGGACATCAGTGATCCTCAAAGGGGGCTTTCAGACTCCCACATTCTTGAAGCAAGTATGCTGTGTTCCATCTTAAGATAATGCTACTGCCCTTTTAGATGTTCCCAGAATGATGTTCATGTCACCTAAAGGCAGATTTTTTCATTGTTCATTGATTTTAAAACTGTATGACTTGATTTCATCTTTAAATAACTAAAAACAAATTTAGAATGTGTTTTTACACAGGTTGTTGTGTCTATGTATGTATGTATGTACATATCCTACATAGACAGAACTAGGATATGTACATACATATTGTCTACTGAGAGAACCTAGAAGCAGTGGAGACCTCAGTAATAAAGAGAATACCCCAATCCTAGACCTTGTTTTCAAATACCATCACTGAAAAAAACATGGAACCAGGGCTTTTGGACAAACAGTCAATCCTAGGGTTATATCTGAGCATATACAAGGTGAACCTAGAGCATCTTGTAAGGCCTGAAAGTAAAAAGTACTCAAACATGATAAGAGTATATCAGAGAGGCTCAGGAGCCAACCTGAAACTTCAGTAGCCAAAGCTGAAACAATTTGAACAGTATAATATGCAATGTAGTATAGGATGTAACCCAAATTATAGAACAAATAAATATTCATGAGTCCATACTAATATAAATAATTTATTGAATAAATAAACAAGGAAGAACAGGCTAGAGGGAGCCTCACATTCAGGGATGATAAATAAGGCTAGACAAGTGTATTTTGTAATCATACTGCTTATATTTGTACCTTATGGATAGCATCTTATTTTATTTTTCACTTTTTATTGGTGGGTAGCATTTTCTGGGGGTGGGGAGGGTACCAGGGATTGAACTCAGGGGACTACTGAGCCACATCCCCAGCCCTATTTTATAGTTCTTATTTAGCAACATAGTCTCATTGATTTGCTTAGTGCCTCGCTTTCACTGAGGGTAACTTCATCCAGAAGAGTTTGGGTTTTAGGGATTGAACCCAGGGGCATTTTGTCATTGAGTCACATTTTCAGCCCTTTTCAATTTTATTTTGAAAGAGGATCTTGCTAAGTTGCCTAGGGCCATGCCCGGTTGTTGAGCCTGATTATTCATCCCAGATATCAGTTAGAGATGCACTGTTTTCACACCAGGTTCCCACTAGGCTCTGTTCCTCACTCCCAGACCTGGAGGCAAGGCCCCAGCATGGCTGCTTGCTAGTATTGTTCATTACTAGCAAAAAGGAAGTGATTATCAAATATAGGTCGGAATTCATAGGTTATAACTCCACGATGGCCTGAAAATGATGGAGTGTTTGGGAGTTACTTGTTTGGGAGTTGATTTCATGCAAGACAGAGTGTTAGGATAACCGGTAATGTTATATGACTCTTATTACCTGTATCTCATGGGGGACTATTTAAAAAGCATTGAGATTTCCTATTAACCATAGGATAAGGAAAATTTTCTAATGGAAAATACTGTGTTTATAATGAATGAGTGAAATTTTTATTGTTCTACAGAGCAGTTGACTTTGGATAAAAGATCTAAATGTTGGGCTGGGGATGTGGCTCAGGCGGTAGCGAGCTCGCCTGGCATGCGTGCGGCCCGGGTTCGATCCTCAGCACCACATACAAACAAAGATGTTGTGTCCGACGAAAACTAAAAAAAATAAATAAATATTAAAATTCTCTCTCTCTCTCTTAAAAAAAATAAAATAAAAAAAGATCTAAATGTAAATATTCATGCTTCAGAATACTGACTGGTTTAATTTTATTTCTTAAAATTATTTAAAACAGAGTCTCAGTCAAATCACTCTAATCAGTCTGATAGTGGAGTTTCTGATACCCAGCCAGCCGGACACGTTCGTTCCCAGAGCATAGTGAGCTCCATCTTCTCTGAAGCCTGGAAACGAGGTACTCAGTTGGAAGAATCCAGCAAGGTAACACATGAGTTTTAATTTACAAAAAAAAAAATATATATATATATACATATACATATATACATATATATGTATATATGTATATGTATATATATATATGGTATACTATGGGTTTAAATTATGATCTTAATTCATTTATTAGGAATCTTATTTGGCACTATTTCAGTCTTTTTTCTTAGCTATCCAGTCTTCATTGTAAGGGGAGAAACCATTTCAGAAAAACTGTGATTTACTTTTCCTTGGAAATTGGGTCTAATAACCTAAAATCTGAAAACAAGGGGAAAAAATTTGGCAGTTTATTAATTCCTTTATTAGTGACTCAAAATTATAAGATAAAGCAATTTCCTCCTTTCTACCTTTAAACAATTGAATGGAGCAAGACCATGCAGTAAAGAGTAGATGCTTATAGTTATTTCTTTATTCATTATTTATTTTATCCAGGCTCATTTATCTTTCCTTTTCTTTTATGGCCTTTGGCATTTCTCTGGGCACTGATGAATTTTCTCAAATTGTGCTTTACGTGGGAGACTAAATTCAAATCAATCAGTCTCCTTTTAAAATTTTGTATTCCTGAACTTTGCATGCTAGATGTTTCAGTGACACTAAAGAATGAGTATAATTATTGGAAGTCTATAATACTTATAAAAATAGTGAGGTTCAAGCTCAGTTGAAAGACACTATAGTCCTCCATCAAGTAGCCTCTGTAGACAAGGACATGTGTGGCTGGAGTTGCAGTTTCAGTATGAAGAATGTGCTCCAATTTTGAAGGACATGGCATCTGTGACTGGACTACTTCATTTTTACCCAGTAATCATTTTTATTTTTTATTGTTTGGGTCTGAGTCACTTACAGAAGTACATTTACAAATTTAAACGAACATTTAAATTTATTCTTTATTAGAACAAATTTGTTCCTGAATTTGCATACGTTGTCCAGTGTAGTGGTGAAGCATTTTCCTTCAGAAATGCATATTTGAGAATTGGTTCTAATGACCTAAATTCTCAAAACACTTGACAGTTTAACTCCCTTATCAGACACTCAAACTTTTAAGTAATCCTCTTCCCCTTCCCCCCTAATAATTTGGATACTCTAAACACATACTAGGAAGCTGGTTTACATAATTAAGATGTCAGCAGAAAAATCCCTTGCCTAACCCAATAATTAGTGGTAAGATCCATGTGCATTTTAAGTTATAACTACCTAATTGTTTCATTTATGACCAAAGAAACCAAAGGTTCAAGTGCTCTGTAATTACAAAGTCCATCGTTGCACAATAGAGCTTCAGAAAGAGGTGACCCTGCTGTGCAGTAGTTTCAGTTTGTTTTGAGTCTTGATGCTTCTCTGAGTTTCTTCTCCTGTTACCTCAGTCTCAGGTGCCACATGAGAAGGCCAGCACAGCTAAGGTCTGCGACCCCTGAAGCAGCCAAGACAGGGTCAAATTAAGGTCAGGGGCTATTCTCTGGAAGCACATTAACCTGAGTGTCTCCTATAACCAGATCTTACAAACTAATGCTTTCATTTTGATGTATAATTTTTAAAGAAACATGTGAGTGTTCTGATTGGCATTAGAACTCAGCCCTATAATGAGCCTTCTAGTCCACTAACCTTACCCATTCTTGATGCCAGTTAGATGTCTTTCATAATTGAAAACATCCCTTTTCATCAGCTTGTTCAGAGATCCTAAAGGATGTACCCAAAGTTATTACACCAAGGGTCCTTCCTTTCCTCTTTTCAAAAGTATTTGAACCAGTCATGCGTGATTATCTCCATGAAGTAACTGACCCAGTATAGGCATTTCAGCAATGCCAAGAGCCACCCAGGTGACCTGGTTGATAGGTTATTGGTAGTTTCTAGCTCCTGTTTCTTGATTCATTTCTTTCACTCTAGCATTCCCAAGTTCCCTCTCATTATCTTTGTGATATTTTTATGATCTTTTGTTTTAATGTTTACAAAGCATTTCTTTATGTATTTTCCAGTAAAACAAATGTAAAGAATGCCCCCCTTTACCTGCATTGCTGGACTTCTGTGCATGTTGGATGCAAGTGTCTCACACGCACGCAAGTGTGTGTGGAGCGCATTCCTTCCTGTGTGACTGTGCACGCCTGCTGAGCATTCTCATACTCTCACGGGTCAGCTTACTAGCATCAGAAAGCCATCCTCATTCCTCTGGAGGCCCTCCATCAGCATCCCCAGCCCAGTTACGGCATCTGCTTGATGTGGGTGCAGTCATGGACTGAAAGGTGAATTTGAGCCATCACAACCCCTTGCCAGGGTCAGGGAGGAGCCAGTGCAGAGAGGCTTCCCAGACAGTTCCCACTGAGGGCAGGGTGTGTGCAAGTCACACAGCCAAGGTCTGAAATCACACATCCTGTCACCTGCCAAGTGGCTTTTGCAGAAGGAAATCTTTCCTAGACTGGAAGCTTTAGCTGTTTGAAGAATACTTCTGGGGAAAACAGATTTTCTCTGTCCTTGCTGCCAGGGTGTCAGATTTTAGTCTTCCTGACATTGTCCGTATAATCACCAACTGCTGCATCCTTTTCATGCATGTCCCAGATTCCTTGCTTTTTAGGTTTACACAATCAAAGCTTACCTCTGTAACTGTTGTGTTTGTTGTTTTTCTCTCTCCCACCTCCCTTTTTATACTCCTTTTAGGCCAGAATGGAATCTGTGAATCGGCCTTACACTTCACTTATGCCCCCTTTATCCCCACAAACCAAAATAGTCACTCCCTACACTGCTTCACAGCCTTCACCTCCTCTGCCTCCTCCCCCTCCTCCCCCTCCTCCTCCACCGCCACCTCCTCCTCCACCCCCTCCTCCACTCCCTAGCCAGTCTGCCCCATCTGCAGGCTCCTCTGCCACAATGTTTGTCAAGTACAGCACAATCACCAGGCTGCAGAATGCAGCTCAGCATTCAGGGCCCCTGTTTAAGCCCCCACCGCCCCCTGTGATGCAGTCTCTGCCCTTAGCCTCACAGTCAGTGAAGCCTCAGATCCTGGTGCCCCCAAGTGGAGTTGTTCCACCACCCCCGCCCCCTCCTCCACCCCCGACCCCTGGTTCAGCTATGGCCCAGCTAAAGCCAGCACCATGTGCCCCATCCCTTCCACAGTTCAACCCTCCTCCTCCTCCACTGAAGATTCATCAAGTTCAACATGTTACTCAGGTGGCTCCTCTCACACCCCCACCAGCTCCTCCCATCCCTGCAGTCCTCCCTCCTCAAGCGCCCCCTAAGCCCATCGTGACCATTCCAGCACCAGCCAGCGCCAAGACTGTGCCCCCAGTTATGACACAAGCTGCACCACCTACCCCTGCTCCTCCAATTCCCCCAGCAAAAAAGCAGGCAGTGTTCCCTATTTCTCACGTTCCGCCCTCTGTGTCAGCTCCCATTCCAGCTCCAACTCCAGCTCCAGTTCCCCCACCCACACTGCCCAAGCAGCAGAGCTTCTGTGCAAAGCCCCCTCCCCCACCACTGTCTCCAGTGCCCTCCTTGGTGAAGCAGATGGTCAGCCAGTTCCCACCCCCTCCAACACCTCCCCCTGTGGAATCTCAGCCCTTAAAGCCTATTCCAGCAAACCTCACTCCACAGTCCCCTCCTGCTGTGAAAGCAAAACCCAAGTGGCAGCCCAGCTCCATCCCTGCTCCTTCTCCTGATTTTCCTCCTCCCCCTCCTGAAAGCAGCCTGGTGTTTCCTCCACCACCTCCGCCCCCACCACCACCACCACCTCCACCAGCCCCGGCCCCAGCCCCACCACCAGTGCCACCCACAGCTTCTCCTACCCCTGACAAAGGTGGATCTCCAGGCAAAAAGCCCAGTAAGATGTCCAGCCCTGGGGGAAAGAAACCACCCCCTACCCCACAGCGCAACTCCAGCATTAAATCCAGCACTTGTGCAGAGCACCCTGAGCCTAAGAGACCCTCCATAGACAGTCTAGTCAGCAAGTTTGCACCACCAACAGAATCAGGGTCTCCCATCAAGGAGACCCCACTCCCTCCTGCAGCACCCCCCAAACCTGGAAAACTACATCTTTCTGGAGTTAGTCTTCCCAATGTTCTCCAACAAGGGTGTGTGTCGTCAAAACCCTCTCTTCTGAGTGGGCGTGCAAAGGACTCTGTAGTGGAATTTCCTTCTCCTCCATCTGATTCTGATTTTCCACCCCCTCCACCTGAAATTGAGCTTCCTCCGCCCCCCATCGAGATCCCAGCAGTATTCTCTGGAAACACCTCTCCAAAAGTGGCAGTTGTTAATCCTCAACCACAGCCATGGTCTAAAGCCTCAGTGAAGAAGGCCCCTCCACCTACACGACCCAAACGGAACGACAGTACCCGCCTCACTCAAGCAGAGATCTCTGAGCAGCCAACAATGGCCACAGTTGTGCCACAAGTGCCCACCTCTCCCAAATCCAGCCTTAGCGTCCAGCCTGGATTCCTGGCCGACCTCAACAGGACACTGCAACGGAAATCCATTACTCGGCATGGCTCGCTGTCATCCTCTCGCATGTCCAGAGCAGAACCCACAGCCACCATGGATGATATGGCATTGCCCCCACCACCCCCTGAACTGCTCTCTGATCAACAGAAGGCCAGTTATGGAGGCAGTCATATCTCAGGCTATGCAACATTGCGCAGAGGTCCCCCTCCTGCACCCCCCAAAAGAGACCAGAACACTAAGCTCTCGAGAGACTGGTAGCCACCACAGGACTTTACATATTTCATGCTATCTGTAATCAGTTCTACAATCAGCTCACCTGATCCTCTGTGAATTCAGGTGCTCAGAGCCTCCTGGTATGATGATGATGTTATTCAGGTAGTGTTCAGCTGTATGTGTGTGTACGTGTGCATGTACACACATAGCTATACAGAAGTGTGTGTGTATATATATGTATGTGTATGTGTATAGAAAGAGAAAACCAAGAATGGTTCTATTTATTCCTTTCCTCTCCCACTCTGAAAATGAAGTTCATGCATTTTGGATGGAAGAGGCATGGAAGGAGATAGTGTTCTGTCTCTTATAATTTCTTTTTGTCTATCATGTGGATTGGACCAAAACTTCTAATTGCTCATTTAGAAGGTATTTTATAAGTGTCTGTCCATGTGCAGCCTATTTGTGCATGTTGTGTATTATATAATTAAGGAATAGATGTATAATGTGCTCTTTCTCAGTTTGAGAAAACAACCAGAATGTGTGATATTATCTACAGGGCTTTTGTGTTTGTTTTTTCCCCAGTTGAAGTTACAGCTGCTTGACTGACACTTCACTATTACACATTAAGGGGCACTTTAAATCAGGAAAATCTTTTAGCTTCATAGAACAGGTAAATAGTTCATCAGGGGGAAATTTTCACAGATATTGTCTATGTGGTTGTGCATAGAAAGTAAATCCATGGTGTAACCAAATCATTCTAGTTGTAGTACTCCTGCAGTAATTCCACTCAACATCTAGGACGTGTTCTCTCACAGGTAAGCTCTTTGCCTACAATACATGGATACTTTTTAATGCTACAGTGCTGGGTAGTTTTGAGTATTTTTCTGAAGCTTTGTCAACTTGACTTCATGATCCTTGCTTTGATTTATTGTGAAAATGTCTAGCACAATCTCTCTGTAATGCACTTTCCCAGTATGTCTTTGGATCACCAGTTAACCTTTTTAAGTGTGTGCTTTATAGGTAGATGTCAGTATCTGTAGCCAAGTGGTATATGAAATATATACATCCTGTGCTCGATATGGTGCATCATTACAAAAAAACAAAATCACTTCTGAAACACCCATCTTTTTAATGTATTGCTTTCTAGGTGAGGTGAGAAAAGAGAACAAAACTGGGCCCTCTACAAGTGTTATATATGGGTTATAATATATAATACAAAAGAGAATCCTTTAGATAGGGAACTGTTGTGGAGGGAAAGAAAATAAATGAGGTTTTTGATAAGTGACATCTATAGCTGGTCCTGGTTGTAGAGACTGTTCAGGTTACCAGGTGTTCTGATGAAGTAGTACAGTGACATTACATATCATGTATGTGCAGTTCGGTATAACATGGAATCATTGCTCTGGGGATGATACACTATACTTCTATATGCTTCACACTATCCTTCTGTATACTCTCTGTACATTTTTCCTTGGTACATGAGAGAAATATGTACTGTCCCGTTAGTTTTTGATGATAAATTGACTGTTAGGAATAAAATGCAATCTTAGAGCTGCTTTTAAACAGAATAAAAACTGGCCAGCCCAGCAATTATAAATGAATACATCTTGTAATGAAAGTCTATGCCTGTTGGAAGGATTACCAGTGAAAACTACAGAAATCTTTTGGCAGTGCCCCACAAGGAGAAAGTGATGTTGGGGAATTGAGGCAAAGTGAAACTAAAGTTACACTGTATGTGAAGGTATCACTGTAACCCTCCAAGAAAGAACTGCATCATAATAGAGTAGCTGGCACCTCTCCATTGCCACATCTCCAGGATATTGTTCAATATATTCACATGGTTATGGAGCAGTAAGAATACAAACCATTGTGCATTTCTTAAAAGTCTTTCTTCTTAAAATATATTTTTTGATCTTTCAAATTATTCAGAAGTTTTGTGTGCTTGACATACTTATGAAGTGACCTTCATCTGCACTGTTAATGTAAGCACGCACAATTTGGGTTACTTTTGAGTACTGATTGCCAAGCTCCACTGAGACTCCAGCGAAGTAATTTCCCAGTCTTCTACTGCTGCTTTATATTCTAAGGATCACCCACATTTGTAGGGTAATGGAGCTATTAAGACTATGAATCCAGTTGTCTAAGTTTTCATCCTGAGGGTTTTGTTTCTAAGGAAGGTAGATGGACAACTTCAATTTTGAGGGGAAAATAATGTACCTCCAATCTTCTTTCACCCATGATTTGAGCTCTAAAACAGTCTTTGTTTATTCATTGTGTAATTTCTTATTTCCATCCTATAACAGCCATCCTAAACCACTGCTGTTGGTCTGTTTTCTTTGAAGAGCAGACATCATTGAGCACTGGTGATGGCAAGAAGAGATCAGGGCCAGAGCAGCGACCATGCCATCTCTATCCCTAGCCCGCTGGCTGGCTGGCCGGCCAGCCGACTAACTACAGGCTTTTCCTGTACATTACTACCAAGATGGAAGTAGCAAAGAAAAAAATTTTACATGTCATACAACTGAATCAAAAGACCTCTAACACTTTATTTTTCTAGTATTTTACTCCCTAGTTTTCTTTAACATGGTTTTTGTTGGGATGATGTTAGGGACCAAGGGAGGTTCAGGTTTTATTCCCCTGAGACTACTCTAGTTTTGTAGCTCTTTTCTCTGGTGTGTTCATGTAAAACACCTACTGCCAGATGATGCTAGGACTGTGCCTTCTTCCACTGCCTTCTGCTCTGCAGCTCCATCCCTACATGGCTTTCTTCAGGCCAATGAAGGCCATGGCTGGCTGACTTGCCTGTATTAAGAGCCAATGCAGGCAAGCTCTACCTGCTCCTGGGGGAGGTGCAAACAGGTGCCTATTAGAGCCAGTGATTTCCTTAATTGAGACATCCTTAACTTTTGCTATAGACAGTTTCGGAATTGGATCACTCTGTTTAAAAGTTTTGGCACCAACTCTGAAGGACAATAGAACCTTGCTCATTTAATTAAACAACTTACTTCAGGTTCATAGGTTGGAATATAAACATTAGACTATTCTGTATTGAATTTTATCAGCTTGGCTTTTACTACTCAAAAACCTAGATTTATATACCCCCCCCTTAACTGCTGTAATTCTCATATCTAATAGATAAGTTTATTGTTTCTAGATACCCACTTAACTGCAAACCAGACTTTTAAAATTCGAGACATTTTAAAATTAGATTTCTAAATCTTAAGCTATAGAAATGAATATTTTCATCAGAAAATTTCAAGCAAATATTGTAAACATGATGGTGTTTTACAGTCCTCTAAAATCAAGGTGCTCCTGCCCATGAACAGCCTATCTTGCAAAGGGCTGTGCAGTATCTTGGGTCCCTTGTCTGTACATGTTTACCATGTACATGTTTACCATGAAGTTCATCAAGAAAGTCAAAATTGAGAGGTTTAATTCCAGTAAGGTGACAGTTCTGAGACCAAGATTAATAGAAACTGTATAACCAATTGAAGTTTCAAAAGCTGCTATTCTAGAAGACTGCTGCTAATAGCTATGTCAAGGATATAAGGTTATAAATTAGCTTGTAAAATGTTTGAGGTTATGGTGTGGATTGGTTTGATTTTGGTTATCCATCCAACAGAACCCTTTGTTACCTCTGTTCTTCAACCCAAAACAAGTTTTATGTTACAAAACACAAGGTAATTTTTAAACAAGAAACCTATTCCTGTTTTTGTACATTACCAAATGTTTTCATGTGCTCTCAGAACTAACATTTTAACTCATGTAACCTGCAGATTTTATTTAAATTTAGACCAACTGAATCTGTATACCCGTGATTACAGGTGTGTTGACTCGCTCTCAGTAAAAATGGCTGTATATCTCATGAGAAAAATTCTTTTTAAAAAAGTCCCTGTAGATTGCAAATACAGCTTTACACCATTTTATAAAGCATGTATCCCTAACCTGATTGATAGGAATATGTGACCTCACAAAGTTGACATTTGATCCAAAGAGAAATAAAAGCAAGTAGAACAGAATTAAATATTCAACTAATTAAATATTCAACTATCTTGTTGCTTTTAAGCCCCAAAAGAACATTTCTACACCTTTACCATTCAAAAGCTAAAAAATAAAAAAGTGCTCAGTTGTTATGGTTCTTAAAAGATCTATATGTAAAAGAAATCTGAAATACAGCAGAAGAATAAACTTGTTCAATTAAAAATAAGCAAAATACCTGATAAATACTTGAACAGGAAAAATGATGGGTTTGCTCTTTCCTTGTTTGAATAAATCATTCAGAAAACTATTTACTGTAATTGATCCCCAGTGCCTTGAACTCTTTGGGAGGAATAGCATTTAAAACAAAAACCCAGGAAGCAAGCTTTGAGGTGCTAATGAAAGCCAAGGAAGGTAACCCTAGTTTTGGCAAAAATGGAAAAAAGTGACAGTTTCACAAGAGATGGCTTTATCTATCTAGGACTGGCTGCTTTCTACCAAAGAAGTTTGAAGAAATGAATTGAGTTAGGATGATGATGAACACTACATAAGTAAAAGATGGCCAAGTTCAGAAGCATATTGGTCACCAGGTGGCTATTAACACCAAGCGCACATGATTGTTAGGGCCTCAGCCTCCTCTTAGGCAGTAAAACATGTCTGCAGTACTTGGGGGAGGGCTCTATGTTTTGGAAACTATCCATTGCTTGTTAAATTTATTATAACCTAATGCCAAAAACTGCTGTTTTTTTCATGATTCCCCATCTCCTTTTTTTTTATTTGTAAATAATCCCTCCTAGAAAATAAGCATCAACTGGAATGTTTCAAATGATTCTGCTTAATTTTGTTATCAGCCACCAGTGAATAATTCTTAGAGATGTATGTTTAAGGTAAAATATCATTAGCTTGTGCTAAGTGTTGTAAAAACATTGTTTACTGTTCTGAAGGCAAATTGCACATATATTTAACTGGGATTGCTCCCTCCCCTCCTGTTTCTTTAAAGAAGAGTTAAGACTTACGCTGACTTTAGGCAGTGTGAGCTTTGCCATAGGTACATTGTAGAAATATACTTTTTTAGAGCATGAAAAAAAATGACAAAAGGAACTACATTATAAAGTACTGGTTAGAGGACATTATTCAGAGGATTATGCACAACTCGGTAAAGATGAAGTTAACAAAGATGTTTCTTTTAGCTTTGTTGAGATTTTCTTCTGCATAAATGTATGCTCTCATTTCATTATGTGCCTTGCTCCCTGATTGTGCAAAACTATATATATATATATATATAAAATATATAAGAGGTATATTCAGTACTACTGAGGATGTTTTTGTTCTACTGGATTAAGTTATTTTCCAAATTACTCTTACCAGTTATTGTCAGTAAACTATTGTAATGGTTTAGGACAGTAGTCATACAGTCAGTGTAAATTTGTTTTTCCAGTTACATGTTTGCATCACGTCAGCTTACCCAGTCCTTAATTAAAAAAAAAAAAGTATGTAAGTATATATATATAAAAAAAAAAACATGTAAACACGGGGACTTTGAGTGTTTGTGGATCGCCACCATTAAGAATCTGGTTTGGGTTTTAATGTCAAGGAACCCCCAAAACAAGCTGTATAGTAAGAACAAATTAAGTGTGAAGGTGAATTAAGTTTGATATGTTCAATTTAATAATTTATATCAATAGACTGAGGGAGCTTTGGCTATGAATGCGCTAGTAGTAATTAACCAATAACTTAAACTTTTTTTCTTTAAATAAAGTACAACTAGGTGTAACTAATACACAAAGGAATGTTTTTTCCAAAACTTTGGAATCACAATGATGTGTTGGACTGCCACACTGAGGTATATGTAAATGTATACATGTTTACATGTCACTATCATTTACCAAACTAGGACAAAAATAAAAACAATTGAAGACCTCCCCCTTCGTTCACCACCATCATACTGGTTGTGGAAGGAAGAAGCATTCATTGTACAAGGGACAGAGGGTGACAAGACATGAAACAAACAGCATCCACCCCCACCCAGTGCCCAGATTCATAGCAGTTTAACCAAAAGTTAATTCCAGGTAACCCAGAGGAGTCAAGTAATAGGATAATTAACAAAAGACTGGATACTGAACATCTTTTGAGACAAAGTTGTTCACATGCAGAAAATGTCCTGAGAATCAAGAGAAACTTTTATTGAAAAAACTCCTTTGAAATGTAAATGCATTGGTTGGGTATTCCAGTTCTTCACATTCTTCCATTGTTACTTAATGACTTTCAAAAGATAAAGAATGAAAAAAAGGGAGATGGCCTTCAAGGCAGGAAAAATTCAAGCATTCTTGGGTATCTTAGAAACAAACTTTGTGCCCACTGTTTCTCAAATACATCACTAGAAAATTCTAGTCAATCTGGTTATCTGGGATCTTGGCTAACTGCCATCACACCTATGACCAATCTGCAATTTTCAGTCAACCCTGTGTTTGAAAGAATTTTATAGTAGCAGAATTTAGATGTATTCTGGGGGAAAACAGTTCATATCTTGAGCAGCTGTCTTGGAAATATGCTTTGGAAAGCTCAAACTTGTGTAAGATTCAGTATTTCAAATACCTGATGTCTAAGACTGGTAATAAAAAAGTAACTCCTTTGATCAGAACAGCAGCAAGGTCCTCAACACTTAGATACCACCTTCGAAAGAAGAAAATGATTTACATAAATAATTTCACAAGACATTTGAATATACTTTGTGATTTTATTTAGGTCAAATTCTTAGTACACAGCAATAATTAATTCCAAATACAATTAAAAAATTAAAAAGTGAATGTAGCCCCAGTCACCTGGAGGTGGTTTAATGGCACACACACGGAACAATTACTGGCAACAGACTGCTCCCTCAAATTTCCTGAATGGTTTTTACTTAACACTACCAACTCTCTGGGAGCTAAAAAGTACAACTGGCCAGATCACAAATTGTTTACATTCTTTTTGTAAATCATTTTGTTAAGAAAAAAGGTACATGGACACAAAATATGATAAAAACTGCTTTTCCATAGAATTCTGAAATTGCAAAAGAGGTTTCATTTTAATGTGAAAATAAGCTTTTTGTTGTGTTTTTATTACAAAAAACCTTAAGATATTTAGCAAGGATCATTTATACACAGCTAGGCCCTGTCATTTCACTTGTAATTTTTAAATAGAGATCCTCAATGAAACAAAGATCAGCATAAAGTAAACTTAAAGGTATGAGCTCAATGCTTCCATTTAATAACTTTTATAAGGCTCTCTTAAATAAGGCTGTTTTGCTGTGCTGTGCTCCTGCCAGTGTTGAACTAATATAATGTGTTTTTGCTACATACACCTTATGGAAAAGAGTGTTTATACTGGGTGTAGTTTTAGAAGGGGTAATTTTTTTTTTCACTAAGGTTGCACTTAATAATACTCCTTTAAACAGTCTGAATACTCTGATGGTTATTTACCAAAACATGGCATATATTTTCAAGTATATTCCTGAAAACATCAAGTAGAATTCTTAATTGTTAAAGAAAAATACAGCACATTTAATTAAGACAGTTGTGGTGCAGTGGAAAGAGTACTGGGCATTGAGTCAGGAACTCAAATCTGAAACAAAGAATCTAATAACCTCATTAGTCAAATGAGACTGAACCAAAAATTTTAAAAGCTCATCTAGCTCTAAAATTCTGTGATTCTAAAGTATGTGAGAGAATTACCACCTTAACACCAATCAGGAGTTTCTGGCCAAAGTTCAGAAGTGAACAGATCCCCATTCTTTCCAAATGCCTGGCAGTCACATGCCAACTCCTCCAACCCTTTTCAGAGGTAAAGGTGGCCTTCAGGACTTGCCATGCTCTCTCCAAGAGGAGAAAAGGTAATAAAAGGTAAAAGAACGGACCTGCTAAAAGAAAATGAGAAAAGATAAAAGCAAACTACCATCATTTTTGATGCCTCCCAAACAGAAAAACCTTTATCACCTTTAGTCAAAATCAAATGCAAAGGAGCACAGCTATATTTACAGATAATCACTGTAAAGATGCATAAAACATTCTCTCTAGCTGGATAGTAAACAGCAATGGAAGGAAAGAAAAGAGGGGATGAAAAATGTCACACCCAGTGATTTAGGAACATAGCAAAATTAGCCATCCCTTACCAGCCCCAATGTGGGAACAGCAGGTACCTCTGAGGAAGACAGAAGTAGCCAAAAGATGGGAAATACTGAATGAGAAAAAAGGTTTATACTTATTCCAAACACACAGCAGGCTAATGAATCTCCCAGGACTAGATTTTTAAAAACTGGCACTATTTTCTGTTTCCAATTTATTGTCTTAGCCACAAAGTCAAAAGTAAAAATGTTTATGATTACTCATATGTCCTTGTGGACTTTCAAATATTAATACCAATTAATACCAAAAAAAATTTTTAAACCCAACTATTCAGTCCTCTTCTTGAAGGGAAAAAGGGGAGTGGCCACACAATCAAGAAAATCTGGAGGGAAGACCATCATATTAGATTCCTGCTATCCTGATAAAATGGTTGCTTATTGGTGAGCAAGTTTCAGACTTGGGTCATCTTTGCTATAATAGCAATACATCTTTGCAGCATACGAAGATTTCATGAATTCATCTGAAATTCCTAGTAACAACCACCTTTGAGTTTATAAAAAAGATAGATGGGGAAACTTACAATAAAACAGGAAATACTACCCTTATAGACTATTAATAGCATGCAATCTATGTAATATTACATACATTAAAAGTCTCCAATTACTGTAGGCCTGGCTCATTATTTCATTGTATCAAGACAAACTAGAATTTGAAACTACAAAACTTTAATATGCAAAAAAATCCAACAAGTATTGTTTATAAAACAAAAAGTCACACACACAAGTACTAAATGATAGAAAAAATAAATCAGCTAACCATGAATTTCCCCCCACTGCAGATCTTAATATAGGATTTCACCAGTGTCTTCTGAACTCCCCAACCAGCAGGAGCAGACCATCTACATCCCTCTGACTCCACCAGTTCTGCTTTCTGTAGTTGCCTTTGTATCTCTAGTAGTGGTGAGCTTATGGGAACTGTTTGTTGAATTTCAAAACACACTCTGCCTTATTAATCCACTAAACTTCTCAGCCAAAAACTACTTTAAGTGATAATTAGAACAACTAATTTCAAAGGTTTTCCTATTTATGCACCAGTACTAAGAAGAGTTTGACCTATCCAAATATAGAGTTTTGCTTGGGTCCATAGGATAGTAGGACATTCAGGGCCATTACACCATGAAGGAAAACGGAGTAAGACATGTTAGGATGACCTCACAAAACCACAAAGTGGAATGTGTATGAGAGGCAAGATAATAAAGCTAAGTCCAAAGTATTGGGGAAAATCTAAAATCAAAATAGCTAAGATGTGATTTTTTTAAAAAATACTAACTTTAAAACAAAATCTTGGTAAGGAAACACTGTAAATGGGTCTCAGTTAAACGGTGAAGTTATATGCTCAGATAACAGACTTACAGGTGGAATATTAACTTCCACCTATGCCATCAGTATTTCCTCACACATTATTATACTTGTTCATTTTTCAACCAAGTTTTTATATCGGTAGTACCCATCATGTTCGTTCCCTACATTTGAAATACATGCAACTATTGCCTCTCCCTTTTCACCCAACTTTGCTGGAAGTTATCCAGCAAAGCTCTATTCTGGCCAAGTCAGTGGACTAAGAACAACCCATAATGGCGGCTTTGGGCCTGACTATAAACTGGTTCATCCCATCACAGTATTCACCTACTGAGCAGCATCCCTTCTGGGTTTTTAAACTATTTCTGATGCTGATTACAAAAGTGATGATTGAAGATAGGAGAAAACATTTATTAGTTTCTCTTGAAGTTGTACTGATGTTTATCAGTGTGACTGAATCAGTATTTTGGCTTATTAATCTTGTTCCACTATATTCTTAGTCTGAAATAGAAGGTTCAAATTCTTACTAAGAGCTACTTCAGAGTCCAATGACATAAAATCAGGTGAGGATTTACCTTTTCTAGAGCTTAGTGAGAAAATGAAAACAGAAGCTAACAGTGGCCATTAGTAATGTTCAGAGAGCATAGTAGCAGCCTTTTATTCTACTCCCAACTGCTATTCTCTTCAAAAACACACACTCACACACACACTGAAAAAAAAATTTTTTTTTCTAAGTTGCAAAGAAGGAATAAGTAATAGTTGGTCTAACCTCCACAATCCTACTCCTTGAAACAGCACCTAAGGTGAGGGTTCATGATCCCTGTTTGTACAGGGCAGTTCCATCAGAGCCTTAGGAACCTACAGGTCTAACTTCACACACCAAACTCGGTTTATGACCCCCCTCTACTACATTTCACATCAGGGCACACTGGCCATCAGCAGGAATGCAGTCTCATGCAGCAGCACACTAAAACTGGGAATCGTTAACCACCCTCAAAATGTATGGAGACTTTCACATTTCATCATCATTATAGTCTACAAACAAACATGATCAGATGCAACTGAGTTCAGCATTAAGTCATCTAGTACACTCAAGTGCTGAGAGAATGCAGAATTTACAGTATTATAGAGGAAAAAAGCCATCTGAAACAATTGTAAAAATAGTTAATTGTGGTATTTAAATATTCTCTCCTCTTTATACAAGTGGAAGAATGTGAGGGTACCCACTGGGCCATGGGTTAACCCCTTAGCACAGGCAATGATGAACATCCAATGCCACAGATTCTGCAGGAAGGAAACCCCAAGGGTGTACAGTATTCCTGAGAAAGATCACAGATTTTTTCCTGAACCAGTCTTAATCTGACTTTCGATTTATTCAGAAATGGTCACTTTATTTCAATCCAGACAGCTCAGCATAGTATAAATGATGTGTATAGAAAGATCCATTTTTTCAGACTTGTCTTGGTTTTTTGTTTTTGTTTTAATACTGGGGGATGAACTAAAAAAAAAAAATAAGTAGTTTTTATCATTTGTATCCTTCATTCTATTTCACTGGAGGGAAATCTCCAGGGCCTCCGGATAATCTGGAAGACCTGACTATTTCTGTGAGGGAAGCACAGCCCTGCTGAGCTTTACTCAGAATAATGCATGATAGACTCAACATAATTCCCAGGAAAGAGCCCAGTCACTCCATTCATAACTCCCTCATACCAACCATCGTCATTCTTCTTGATGACATAAATAATGGCTCCTTCCTGAAAGGACAGCTCATCTTCTTTGTCTTTTGTATAATCATAAATTGCCACAACTAGGAGAGAAAAAAAAAACACGATATAAAAGAGAATACTATTCCTAGAAAGAGCCAAATAAGCAAACATGGTGACTTTCTACCCAAGCATATACCAAAATTTATAGTTTTCTATGTAATAAACAGTCCTATGCAATGGAATCTAATTTTCTAGAAAAGTTATATAATGAGGACAAATGGCAAAAAGCAAAACCAAAAAAAATCCAACACAGATAGTCAAACCTTATTCTTTAACAGTCTATACAAAAGTACCTTATTGAAGAGAGAATCTTATCATGCAAAATGGCTATTCATTTGTGTTTGTCTGAGATACATATTACGTTTTTAAAAAAGCATTAAAATGATACTAATGCAATCTGATACAAGAATCAAGTAAGACACCAAGACAAACTAAGGGAATATCAATTTTGTTTCCTTTCTGAAGTCAGGCCGATTCATGGAGTAAAATAGTGACTGGAGTCTCACAAGTCAAATGCATGAATAATAGGAATCTATGTATACTGTCTATATATTCATTAAAAACATTTACTACAGGGGGCTGGGGCTGTAGCTCAGTGGTACAGTGCTTGCCTCACATGTATGAGACACTGGATTTAATCCTCAGAACCACATAAAAATAAACAAAGATATTATGTCCATGTACAATTTTTAAAAAATTACATTATGTCACTAATATATCCAGAATATTCGTCTTTAAAGTGCTAACAGAAACAAGGTACCTATAGGTTCTCCTGTGATTTTCATTGCTGTCACTTGGTAACTGGGCCTTTCAACCACTGTCTCAGATAATAGCTGTCTCCTAATATGACACCTACATCAACAGTTTAGTTAAATTGGGATACCTTAAAACTTACTTAGCTCTACTTGAAGCTCTACTTAATTTTTGTTCCAACCTCTTCATCCCCTCTACCTTTTTTTTAATACCAAACCTTCAATGAACTCTCCATCATTTTCAGAAATATGTATTGACTTTGTTATTTTCTCATGTAACCTTATTCCTCACATAAATAAATGAGCAACAGAAACCAAAACAGGGACTTTAGATATAATGCAACTTGCCCCAGTTAAAGAAAATTTATGTTTCTGGCTTGCCTTAATAAAAATTAAATGGCTTCCTTAATCTGTGAATATATTTTGTTATTGTGATATATTTAGGACATCAAGAAATAATTTCCATGGGCCTGACTTGGAAGAGTTCAGTCTGTATTTCTCAAAACATAACCAAACACCTACACACAGTTAAGTAAAACTACATGATACAAGTTTAACTATATTAAAAGAATAGGAGTACTGTTCAGTATTGGCAGTCAACCCAATATCTTATAGCATTTTTAAAAGGAAAAATATTCTTCATGCTTACAGAAGTGCAAACCCACCAAAAAATTAATTAGAAGAGAATAAAAAGGCTACTTCAACATAGTAGAAATGTAAAGTTATTAAGCTCTATGTGCATCCATCTTCTTCAATAAAATGTAGAAACTGGAATAGATAAAATTCATTGAATATGACTGCAGACACTATTTATAGTGATATAGTGTTAACATCTTTAAACTGTTAGATGAAGGGGTGGGGATCAAAATAAGTGATCAAAATTTTGAAGTTAACTGGTTATTTTTTTCATCAAAGAGAGGGGTGTTGGGATGTAGCTCAGTGATAGAGTGTTTGGCTAGCATGTGTGAGGGCCTAAGCTTGATCCCCAGTAACACAATATAGATAAATAAATAAAACTTTTTTTTTTAAAGCCTGCTTAAAAATATTCATTTTCAGCTGGCACAATGGCACATGCCTATAATCCTAACAACTGGGAAGGCTGAGACAGGATGACTCCAAATTCAAGGCCAGCCTCAGAAATTTAGCAAGACCCTACCTTGAAATAAAATAAAAGTGTTTGGGGGTAATAGCTCAGTGGTAAAGCACCCTTGGGTTAAATCCCCAGTTCATGCACCCAAAATTCATTTTCCCTCCAGGGAAAGATAAGCACCAGTAGTTTACTTCATTTACTTCTTCATAAAGCTATTCATCAAAAGGAAAATAGATTTGATTTGGTGCAAAAGACTTAAAATAACTAAGGAACAGACATTATTACCCTATAACACAAGTATGATTATACTAATGGTGTCAAAATGCATTCTACTGTCATGTATAATCAGAACAAATTAAATTTTTTAAAAAAATAAAAAATAAAATAGCTAAGGAGGCAAGTATTAAACATATATACCAAGATTCAAAACACTGATGTTGATGTTCAAAAATGTAAAATCTGTCTAGATTTTATTTAGCCTGGAAAAATAGTTTTTGCAGTCATGAGGAAATTCTAATAAATATTTTCCATTATGCATGTGTATTAGCATCACAATCACAATGGGAATTTAAGAAGTACTTTTGAGAAAAAAAAACTTTTAAGAAAACGTTAAATATGTGTTTTCTATATATAGCTATGAAAGAAACACAGAAGAGCTAATGGTGTCCACGTTGCTTCTCCCAACATTTCTGTTAATGTGAAAATATATTCTAAATTCCAAAACATAGCTGTTCAAATTTAGCATTTCAGTTGAAGGCACTATAAAAATATTTTGAAGTCTATAAGTAAGCAAAACTTCTTAGCTTAACACATTAAGTCCCAACTTTTCAATTCTGCAAATATTTCAATAAAACTGACACAGGTACGTTAAAATAGGTTGGAATTCATAATCTAGAACTTATATGTATTAATGTTAATTAATATTATAATTATGTATTTACTTTCTTATAGAATTATATTTCATATTATATAATTATATGTTATATATTATATTTAAGTTTTTATAGGTGTTACACATCTGGGATGATATTCAAAATGGGTTAAGTATTTGAGGAGGGGGGTTGAGGGGATACCAGGGACTGAGTTTAAGGGCACTCATCCACTGAGACACATCCCCAACCCTATTTTGTATTTTATTTAGAGACAGGATCTCACTGAGTTGGTTGGTGCCCTTTTTTTTCCCCCTGAGGCTAGCTTTGAATTTACCTCTTACCCCAGCCTACCCAGCCACTGGGATTACAGGCATCACTGCACCCTGCTCTTTTTTAATGTTAATGTTATAATTTTATATGAAGTATGCTGCAGAGTTAAATATAAACAAAGAAGGATGGTGCTACACAATGATGGTCAATGATTAGTAAGAGAAGTCAGCTGTCTTCTCTCATACAATATGAAAGGTGAAACAAGAAACAGTAATCCAAACAAAATATCTCTATATTGCAAATTCCTGCAGGGAAAGATTCATCTCTGAATCCCTCTGTCACTGAATACAAGGCTTTGCATTTTAGACACTTCTAAATGCATCTACATTCTATATTATTCAACTACTCAGTAACTTAAATATGCACTGGAAAACACTGAGGTGATACTAAATTAACAACAATATAAGAAAGTGCTAAATGAACATGTTATTTATGAGTTAAAAATAATGACCACCAAATACTGTAATAGCATTAGCAACCATATCTAGCAATTAAGTACACAGAACTTGTGGCAAGCTACTCAAAAATCTTTATCCATTTTAAAGATACTCTTTGTATTAAGTTACATTTTAAACTGAAATTATTTACATGGAAAAGAAAAAGTTTATCCTAAGTCAGCAAAATCCTATTTAACATAATTTTTGAATTTATATATAACTTGTCGGAAGGTTCACTGACACTACAAGTGAAAAGTCTCTACCTTATGCCGTAAACTAAACTGAGAGACATTTTAGAACCTTTTTGATACTGTTTCTATATAACTAATGGTGCTTAGTTAATGTGGCCACATTCCTTCTGTCCCCACCAAACTGTTCACTCAAAGGTAACCACTGGGAGCTGGGACTGGGGCTCAGTGGTAAAGTGCTTGCCTGGCATTGAGTTCAATTCTCAGCACCACATATAAATAAATGAACAAAATAAAGGCTAAAGGCCCATTTAAAAAAAAAATAAAGGAATCTCTTTAAAAAAAAAAAAAGAAGAAGGGGCTGGGGCTGGGGCTCAGTGGTAGAGTGCTTGCCTAGCATGGGGTGAGGCTCTGGATTTGATCCTCAGCACCACATAAAAATAAATAAAATAAAGGTATTGTGTTCAACTACATAAAAGGTATTGTATTCAACTACAACTAAATATATATATTTTTAAAAAAAAAAAAAAAAGAAAAGGTAACCACTGAAAAAACCACCTTCTAATTTTGAGATCATAGATCACTTTTCTTCATACACACTCCCCACCTAAATGCTTTGGCAAACTTTTTTTTTTTCTATCTCCAGGTTTTTAAAGTAGACACATTTGTTTAAAATAAAGTTGGTTTTTAAGAGCACACAAAAGTTGAGCACAAACTAAGAAGTAGAACAACAAAGTAAGGAATAGCAAATACATGCCTTCAACAGAAAACTGAATGTCTGAGGTAAAGAACTGATAGTGGCTAGAGTCTTTGCACTGCAAAAACACTGTTTAATGCATGTACCAAGGAGTTTGTAGCTGTACCTGGTTTCTATTTATTACTTAATAAGACAGTTAAGTAGTCCTTATAGACAACCTGCGTCCATTTCAAATAAACACATTCTCTACAACAGAGTGATTATAAGGCCACAATATTTCTTTTAGACAAAATCCTTTAATGCAGTAATTTTTTTCTACTAGTAATTTTTCTACCAGTGTTATTCAATCTTTTATTCAAATATAAAGTATTCTAACTGAATCCAGGTTACAGATAATTATCAAATGATACATACATCATGACTATTCATTTATTTATACTATTTGCATTTAATATCCAAAGAAAATTTACAACCAAATTCTTCAGAGCATATATTAATCAGTCTTACATGCTTATTAATGGATTTCATAGGTATTCATTAGTATCTGTTGTTTTATTTTACTAAATTGGGAATACATCATTTATGGAACAAATAAATGCAAGTGGTACAGCTACCCAAGGATTACCATCTCTCCAGTTAGCTGTCAAGCTCAGATATAAATCCCCAGTATGTGAA